TATATATATATATATATATATATATATATATATTATAATGAATTGATAGATGAATGGAAAACATACATATTTTAAATAGGATATAATTAATTATCTATATCCTAAGTTTATGCGCAGACGATCCAAGAGAGATGGCTGAATATTTTATGAAGCTATAATTAATAATAACATAGGTGTAATAAAATGTATTTTTGCTGTATGTACAACACCTACGAGGGGCCCACCTGACAAGAACCATTCCCGCGCCTTCCTCGATGGAGATGTGATCTTGACCGCATGATTCATCCTCCCTTTCATTCTTCACCGTCTGATCATCCTCCTTCTCTCTCTCTCTCGTTTTCCCTCTCTCTCTCTCTCTCTCTCTCTCTCTCTCTCTTTAGTGTTTAATTGTGAGATCACATCTCTTCTCTGCTTAGGATCTCAGCTACCGTTGATTCACTTGGCCAGTGAACCGACTCCATGATTTTCTTCTTCTTCTTCGTCGTCGTCGAGTTGGCTGGGTTCTGCATATCTCTTTGAGGTAACTTCTCCATTTGAATCGCAATTTTTCTCGGGAAAATGTCTCCGTTTGGTTTGGTGGAAACCTTGCCGTTTGGCTAAGAAAACACTCTGTTGCTTTGTTTAGAGGTATGGTTTCTTACGTTTAAGCCTCTCACATCCCGCGGTGCTTTCACTTGGCTTGAATCTGAAGAATGTGTGATAATCCCGTTCTTCTCTGCTACCGGTTAACCTAATGATGTGAAACAGTTCACGATTCCGCTCACTTTCTTACGGATTTGAGCGTGCACTTCGAATTTTGACGTATTGTTTCCAGATGATCCTCGGATTTTGAAGTAGTAATAGTTTTGAATTTCGATTGAGGCTTGATTGCGGCGTTTGTGATTCTGAGAGCCTGCTATAAGTGTCTTCGTTTGAATAAATGCGCCTTTGGAGTTTGTTCTTTGTGTTGTCTTCAAATTTTGAATTTCTTTTCCGATTTTGGATCCGTCGCTCCGAATCAAATGGGGAAATTTTGTCGTTTCTCGTTGTTTGTGATAGTTCGTGATAAATGCGAGCAAACATCGTTTAGCTGTTTCCGGGGGAGATGGGTCCGTTGCATTGCCTTATCTCAAGATCTTGAAAAAGTCTTAAATCAACCTGCATTTTCAGGGACTAGGACCACTTTTCTTTGCTCTTGGTTCCCTTTCCTTATCTGTTTATGGCTCGCAATTTTTCTTGTTCCATTTTCTTTCTTTGCAGTCTCTCTTGTTTTTTCCTTAGTTGCCGTGATAATTCGGTTGCCTACCTATCAGAAACGCTTGCAGTGCACTTTTGTTGTGTTTGGTAGCTTAACAATTGATTGATTGATTGAGAGAGTTAAGCATCTGAGCAGATTTGTTCTTTTTTGCTTTTCGTATTCAGGCAACTGCTCATGCTACGTCGGTTAAGTGGGATTGAAGTGGTAGATCTGAGGATCATGTGAATTCTGCGTTCTTGCCTTCGAACCCTTTGTTCTGTTACTCCTGCAAACAACACTGTCAATGGAATGCCAATTGAAGCCGCCAGAGGCTCCGAAGGAGCAGCCTATCTACAAAACTTCCTCGTCGTCTAAACCTTTACAGAATCCTGCTGAGCAATGTATGAAGAAACGAGCTAGTGGAGAGCGTGAGCTCGTCAAGTATATGTCGAAGTTGCCCGGTTTTTTGGAGAGAACTGAAACCCCTCAGGACAAATTCTTGAATGTTGGTGTTCTTGATTGGGGCCGCCTGGAGAAGTGGCAACATAGTCATACACATACATCAGGAAAAAGTAGTCACCCTTCGGTTTCTGAACTGCATGCTTCAGTGGCTCTGTCGAAAGATGAGTCATCTATTCGCTCAAGAAAGGTTCAGACCCATTCTTCGGTACATCAGAGGACTCAGCATAACGCAATGCAGTTCCATCTGTTTTCGACTCCTGAAACGGGGTCTCAGATTCCCAAATCTTATAATGAGTGTGTAAAGGAGTGTCGGAACAGAAAAACCGTTCGACAAACCAACTCCAAGGATCATCGATATTCCGGAATACCGAACGAACAGGTTTGTCAAGGCATTGCTGTGGCTGGGTCAGATAGATGTGAAAGTAAGAACTTGATAGATAATAAGATCTGTCCAAAATGTGAAACTCTGTCAAATGGGTTGAAACCAGAGTTTGGCTTGAACGTGGAGATAAAATCAAAGACTCACAAGAACAGACGTGGCAAACATGAGGAAACGTTGAACGAGAGCAACCAAAATGATCATGAGGGTGAAGTTGCTCGAAAGCCACAGGGGGCATCTGAGCTCTACCATTTAACCAAGAAGGTGGCTCGAAAAGAGGCTAAACCTTCTAGTAGGAGGAGTTCAACTAAAGGGGCCAATGAATTTTGCGATGCTGAAGTAGATAATAGCAAAAAAAATTCTTGTTCCTTGCCTGTGCCACTCTCAGAAAAAGCAAGTGCCAGTTCCTCACAAGATAAAAGACCGGCCTTGTTACCTATGAAAGATAGCGCGGGTGAGCATGCCCAAGGACAAGGTCCGAAGTTGTGTGATGCAACATCTGATAATGGAAGAAACATATCGCCTTTTCAGAGACTTGGCTCCAATACAAGTAAAACATGTAAACAAAACGGTGAAAGATATGCTGTTCCAGTGACCCAGCTGAACTCGAAAGTTAACTCTGCAATGTCTGGATCACAAAATGTTGCTACTTCGTCTGGTATTGACAATTCAGACAGTAACAGACCCGGTGGAAAAGATAGAGCTGCCATAAGTCCATTTAGAAGGTTACTAGAGCCGCTATTGAGGCCAAAAGCAACTCACTCAGGTAATTCTTCGGAGGATCCACGAGCTCAAAGGTTTCAAAGAGTAAAATTAGGTATCGGTGGTTGCAAAACAGTAAACATTGATGATTCGGCTCAGGAGAAAAGGGTTGTGTCAACCATGGTTCAAGCTGTTTTACGTGCAATGGTTAAGAACAACCAACTGTTGTTTACATTTGCGGTGAACAAGGAAAGCGATATTCTTGCTGCCACAGTGAAGAAACTGGGAAGCTTGGAAGGGAATGACGGTACAACTATTCATAATTTCTTCTCCATTCAAGAGCATAAGAAGAACGGTGCCTGGTTAAACCAGAGAGGCAAAGGCCAAACACATGGTATCATCTCCAACGTTTTCGCTCAGATGAGGGTCTCCTCTTCACCTGCTGGCGCTATCAAAGAGTTCGTTCTCTTCTCTGTAGACTTAGGACAAGGGAACGGGGAAAAATCTCACTTGCAGCTGAAAAACGAACTCGCAGCCATTGTCATCAAGATGCCAAGAAGGATCAACACAAGTGATTCTAGAGACACTGTTCAGAATCGCGATGATGGGGAAGAGAACTGTCTTGAAGATCGCATAGAAGGCAAGAAGGATAGTCCAGTTATTTCCAATCAAGACATAAGTGTTACTGTCATACTTCAGAGCGGTGTTCATAGCCTGCCTCACAAAGGTGGACCGTCTTCTCTGATCCAACGATGGAGGTCAGGTGGCTCGTGTGATTGCGGTGGTTGGGACATTGGCTGCAATCTCAGAGTTCTTTCCAACCGGTCGAGCAAAAATCCCGCATCATCCTCTTCAGAACGGCTAGATCTCTTCTCTCTGGTACCGATTGTTCACTTCTTTCCATTATCCACACCCGCTTTATTTCACATCGAAACCAAATATTCATCAGTAGCTACGAACTAACGTGGTTTCTAATTAATTGCAGGGGGGGCAACCAGAAGAACAGCCATTCTTGAGCTTTATACCCTTCAAGGAAGGGATATACTCAGTCGGGTACAACTCATCGCTCTCACAACTACAAGCCTTTTCGATTTGTATAGCAGTTGCAGAAAGTAGGAAACTTTCAGAAACCTTAGAACAGAAAAGCTCTCACGATGAACATAATAAAGCTTCAGTCAGAGTTCCAGATCAAGAAACTAAGTGTAATGGCACAGCAGAAGACGAGGTCGCAGAAAGATACGTAGCGTATCCGCCGCCTCTGTCGCCTGCTGGACGGGTCTAGTTTTTTTCTTTTCCTTTTACCTCAGAGCAGATTTTTTTTGTTTCCAAGTTCTGTGATCATGTTAGTGTTAAATGTAGTGCAGCCATTGCAGGAGAATAAGAAAGCAGGTATACTATGCAGGATCTCTATGGGCTCTCAATTCCAAAATGTAAGTGTGAATATCGTATGATATATATATATATATATATGTCATGCTTATAATGGTAAAAAACCAATTTCTGGCTGTGGATATCATCGGTCCCAGAGACTTAGAAGATTTAGTTCCGAATTTTTTTTTTTTTTTTTACGTTGAAGCTTCTTTCGAGGGCTAAAAATGAGAATGGGTTTTTATTGATAGTATCCCCATTACAAGTTCGGAATTTTCTTTTTAATATTTCTTTTGTCTGACAGAAGAACTATTCTGTTACATCCAAACCCTTTCTTATGAAAGTGTAAATACTTATAGATAAAGAAATAAAAAAATGTATCATTCCAGAAAAAAGGAAATAAAAAGGGTATCATTGCAGGGGAAAAAAACCCCAACCCCAAGGAAAAAAGAGTACAAAACAGAAAAAAGAGTACAAAACAGAACAATAACCCATAAAAGTTTGACTTTTTTCCTTTTTTAACAAATAAATGGGCCATGGGAGGGAAATAAATGGGCCTAACATGATACTGAAACGGCCCAATAGCATGATTCTAAAAGGAGCCCCATATAAATTATAATTATACCATACCGGTCTAAAGCAGTAAAGATAGAGTGGAAACTAGGTATTTGGTTGGTTGAAGTAACTATTGAATAGAATGGGTGGACTACTCACTGACGTAAATCAGCAAACACATACTTGACACGTGCATATATTATATATATATTATTGTTCTTCTCCACCGTGTCGGAGGCCGACCTAGTACAGAGCCAAGACTCTATCCCTACCGGAAGGTTACTTATTACGAGGTTGTTTGTGCTTTGGACTTGGGCCTCTATGATTTTATCGTTATCTTTATTTTTCACAGGTAAATTATTCCGAATACTCTTATTTTTTACTTGTAACATGAAAACCCCCATTCCAGGGTTTTACTTCGTCACCCTCGTCTCCACATTCTTATCCGCATTCACCTTTGTCACGGTTATCCATATGCACAATATTTTCTCGGAAACTACACGAGATGGAAAAATAGCTCCGACCTGGCACACTTCATGCCAGGATAGATGCCCGTCGATAGGTTTACGTAAATCTAATCATCTAACTCGCTTCAGGACCAGGATAGATGGAAACGAGGACTTACCCAACGTTCAGAGAGTTCAGCCTCGGCACAGTGTTAAACAGAACCGCTCGGCCCGATCTTCGTCAATTTCTCATCAGTACTCTTGAGAAATTTCGTTCCTTTGCCCATTTCCATCAAAGGGTCTTGTGTTTTTTGTCTGTCTGTGCTTTGAAAATTTTGATCTTACTAACATATGAGATTCTGTATCGATCCCCTTTGTACGTGTCCTGAAAAGATAGCAATTGATTTGAGCCAAGCAACAAACATGCTAATATATACAGGAGAGAACCGACCAATGAAGTGGTGGGCTATGAGGGTGAGAGTGGCTCTGTATGTAATGTAGGGCAAGCACTTGACCTATTGCAGCAGCAAAGGCAGAGACTTGTACCACCTTAACGCTTATAGGATCAGGTGGTGGGCTCATTACTCCGTAACCTATTAATCAAAGTCCGCTGAATCAATCCATCTCCCCCTCTTTCTGTAATGGTTTGTTCTCCATATAATACAAACTTGGCCTCCCGAGTATCTAAGAACAGGTTAATTGGATATGGATTTTAAGTACAAATGGCGACATTTGGTACCTGAAATGAGATTGATGATACCTCTGCATGAGTGTTGCATTCTTTACAGGAAGAACTATACCAGAGAGCGTTGTCTACAGCTTCGGGACCCTCTTGCTAGATCTTCTCAGCGGCAAACACATTCCACCTAGCCATGAAAGTTGAACAAAGAAACGGTAAGTTTGTCACTTGTCATAAAACTGAAATTTATTGATCCGAATAAGCTTTTCTTTCCGATGTCGTATCACGACGTAATGCAGAAATTATAACGAGATCGATGTTCCTTCTCTGATGAATTCGTCGAAAAAACGCTGCGTCATCTGCAATGCAGCTCTTGTTCAGAACATATACAGGAAACACTGAACTCCCGAAAGCACAGCGATGCTACATTCAGAAACAAGGATATCGTTACAGCCAGGTAACTCAGTAATAAGTAATATAATAGAACCCATAAAATTTTGAAACTAAAATCTAGGGTTTTGCATGTTCTGATTGGATAATGGGATTGTATTACCAACTATTTTGCAAGGAGGTGTTCTGATGAGTGAAATGCCACAAGAAGCTCTCGTACTAGGTTGAATTACTATCGCGACACGGACATCAGTAGGGTAAAACTAACATGTCTCACGACGGTCTAAACCCAACTCACGTTCCCTATTGGTGGGTGAACAATCCAACACTTGGTGAATTCTGCTTCACAATGATAGGAAGAGCCGACATCGAAGGATAAAAAAGCAACGTCGCTATGGCTTGCCTGCCACAAGCCAGTTATCCCTATGGTAACTTTTCTGACACCTCTATCTTCAAATTCCGAATGTCTAAAGGATCGATAGGCCACGCTTTCACGGTTCGTATTCGTACTGAAAATTAGAATCGAACGAGCTTTTACCCTTTTGTTCCACACGAGATTTTTGTTCTCGTTGAGCTCATCTTAGGACACCTGCGTTATCTTTTAACAGATGTGTCGTCCCAGCCAAACTCCCCACCTGACAATCCTCCGCCCGGATCGGCCCGCAAAAGCGGACCTTGGGTCCAAAAAGAGGGGCAGTGCCCTGCCTCCGATTCACGAAGTAAGTAAAATAACGTTAAAAGTAGTAGTATTTCACTTGCGCCGAAGTTCCCACTTATCCTACACCTCTCAAGTCATATCACAAAGTCGGACTAGAGTCAAACTCAACAGGGTCTTCTTTCCCCGCTGATTCTGCCAAGTCCGTTCCCTTGGCTGTGGTTTCGCTGGATAGTAGACAGGACAGTGGAAATCTCGTTAATCCATTCATGTGCGTCACTAATTAGATGACGAGGCATTTGGCTACCTTAAGAGAGTCATAGTTACTCCCGCCGTTTACCCGCCGTTCTTATGAGTGAAATGCCACATTTACGCAGAAGAATAGACAATCGCAAGCATTACCTTGCAGGCAGTCACAGTTCTCAGCCTCCTTACAGACAACATCGAGGACAGAGTCGATGAGCTCTACCCCTTCGGTGTAGAACCCTTGGCCCAGTTGTTACCGGCACCAGACTGGCCGAAGACGAAGTTGTCGGGACGGAAGATCTGACCGTAAGGACCAGATCTGACGTTGTCCATGATCAGGTTCCAGGTCCATGAGAACCGCGCGAGGAACAAACCTTCCGCAACTAGCCTCGTTGTAGTAGACATTGATACGCTCGAGTTGAAGATCGGAGTCGCCTTGGTAGCGACCAGTGGGATCGATGCCATGCTCGGCACAGACGACCTCCCATAACTTGGCACTGACCTGGTTACCGCATTGGCCACCCTGGATATGAAGGATCTCACGCATCTTCGCTCGCAGAAGGGGAACGAGAAATCTAGGGTTTTGAGGGATTCGAGATTTTGAATTTTGAAATGGGAGGAGGAAGGTAGGGGAAGGCACCGGCTTTTATATGGAGAAGGAAAAAAAGTTGGCCTGAACGGCTAATTTTAATGATTTATCCGTTTATTTGCTATTTCGTCTACCATTTTTGTACGAAAAACAATATAGAAAATATAAGGTAAATTAAATCCTGGATAATGGGCATAATTTGTGGAATAAATTTATGGAAAAAATGAAACTTTATGAAAATTTGAAACCTTTTTAGAGGATTTGGGACACTATTTGTTCACAATGTTTTTAGAAACATAGGAGAATGTAAGACAGAACACACTCAGAGACAATTACTACATCCTTTTCATAAATCTTACTAAAAGAGCAAAAAGTTTCTGCATCTACAAGTTCAATCTTTTTCCACATAACCAACGCATGAAGCTTTTGAATTCAAGCAAGGAGATGATGTGTAAAACTTATGACTCCATCAAAGATAAATACAGCAGATTGACCGACGACAGTCGCGATTTTAAAGTTTTACGGGACCATCTTTTCCCCTATGGAAGCTATGGCGATTTCGGAGAAGCTACAAAAGAGAAGAAACTGTTTTCTTGGAAGGGAAATAACTAAAACAAGGGTGGCAGAAACCCGGATACTGAAACAGCGAAAAAAGCGATCAGTACCAATGATCGAAGACGATGGATGGATCAAGAAGATTGGATATCGGCGATTGGGTTTGTTGAGTTTGAAGGCTTTGAAAGATTCGGTATATACTTCCAACATCGCTTGTGAACTCCGCTTATCTTCTTGGGAGCTTCTGCAGCGGTCAGTCCTGCAACGAGCACATATCTGTTAGTCTAATGGAACGGCCTATACAAAAGATACAATCACATGCTACTCGTCTTTCCAAAACTGAGAAATCTTAATGTCAATCCACCAACAATCTATAAAGACTTTAATTTTCGCAATTCATCCAACTGGAAGACACCTAACAATTCAACATTATAGCCCGTAAATGGGATATGCTCCTATAGACAATTACTGTCTTTGGAATCATCTTCAACCTTGGCTTGAGATCAATACAAAAGATTCAAGCCTGTGTTCTGTTTGGCCCAAGAGCTGAACATTACCCATAAACGAAATGTGTTTTGACAGAGAACAAGGTGATTAATAAAACTCACCGTCCTTGTGAACAATCCCCCACGCCTTTCCATGTCTGCCATCCTGCAATTTAAGCCGAAACTAACCAATAATAAAACCCCACTTTGCAGAAAGCCATTCTTCAATCTCCTACTCAATGATTCAACAGATTCTAAATCTGAGCATAGTGCATACGATTCTGCCTATTGTACATAATTCAGGAACCAGATCCCAAAAAGCTTCCTTCCTTCTGATGCAACATTTTCTCGGGAAACAAACAGCACATTCATAAAAACATGAACATTCACAAATTCTACCCATGATCCATAATTTCCATAACATGTAGACAGGAAGTAACAATAAAATAGCGAATAAAAAGCAAAAACGATAACCACCGTATGGTCAATTTTCATGAAATAGACAATGAACCAACCAGAAGGCATAGGGGAACAAAAGATGATCGAGAGGAGAAGGAATAGACAGAGACCTTGTAGAGATTGATCTTGGTGATTTCGTATGAAACGCCGCTCCAGTGAGTCTTAGCCATATGATAACCGATTCCCCAGTTGGGTAAGAACTGAGCCACTTCGAACAGGTTCTTCTTCCTCCTCCGTTTGGGTTTACTCGATGCGGAAATAGGGTTTTGGCTCGATTGAGATGCCGAAGAGGAGAAATTCCTCAGCAGATTGAACGAGACACTTAAAACACCTGCAGTTTCGACCCTTGCAGCTGCTTTCGTAAGGCTCATAGCCGCCATTGCTACTCTCTCTCTCTCTCTCTCGCTCCCCTCTCTTCACTGCGTTCGGCGACTCGGAGGGTGAAAAATGAAGGGAGCAGAGAGAAGTTTGGTTTATTCATAAACGGCCCCATACTCGTAATTAATAAAAAAAAAACAGACCCCAATACTTTCTCGCATTGACAAAACGTGGCCCCGCGTAATCCATACACTTCGTGCCGTTTTGCTTACTCGTACGAGGCATGTGTGCCGGTTTTCTCAATTGTTTACGACAGGAAGTTTCAACCCAGTCTTGTGGCGTCAGATGAGATATATGAACATATAAAGTAAACCTAATAAGGCTGATTATCTCTACACCCAAATCGGATCAGTGCATTTAGATATCTGAAATTGTTGTTCGTCCCAGAGAGAACAGAATTTAAGAAGAAAATACAAAACAAACAACAACAAAGTGAATTTGTAGAGATGATACTAACAAAGGGCAATTTGCTAGTACTCCTCTTCCTGTTGGTACTCACCCTCGTCCTCATAGTCCCCTTCTTCATCTGCGGTCGCATCCTGGTACTGCTGGTACTCGGACACGAGGTCATTCATATTGCTCTCCGCCTCTGTGAACTCCATCTCGTCCATTCCCTCACCCGTGTACCAATGCAAGAAAGCCTTCCTCCTGAACATGGCCGTGAACTGCTCGCTCACCCGTCTGAACATCTCTTGGATGGAGGTTGAGTTCCCGATGAATGTCGAAGCCATCTTCAAGCCGGTGGGTGGGATGTCACAGACAGTTGATTTCACGTTGTTGGGGATCCATTCAACGAAGTAGGACGAGTTCTTGTTCTGCACGTTCAGCATCTGTTCATCCACCTCTTTCGTACTCATCTTGCCGCGGAACATGGCTGAGGCTGTAAGGTAGCGGCCATGTCGTGGGTCGGCTGCACACATCATGTTCTTCGCATCCCACATTTGCTGGGTGAGCTCTGGAACTGTGAGGGCTCGGTATTGCTGAGAGCCACGTGAGGTGAGAGGAGCGAAACCCACCATGAAGAAGTGAAGACGAGGGAAGGGGATGAGATTCACGGCCAGTTTCCGGAGGTCAGAGTTGAGTTGACCAGGGAATCTCAGACAGCAAGTCACTCCAGACATCGTGGCAGATATCAAGTGGTTCAAGTCACCAACTGCAGAGAAAAGAACGAGATGGTATCTATCATTCATAACAACAAGAAATGCTCACTGTATCTCGTGTGAGACAGCAAGCTGGGGTTCACTCAGTTAACAAAACAAAGCATAAAGGTGGAGATCATAGACACACAAAAATATGTATCATCTCCACAAATAGCATACATTTCCACAATTACATGTCAAGCAAAACATATCTGTAGATTCTGTACAATGAATACGGGAAGCTGTGAAACAGCTAAAACATTATCATAACAATCGGTCATTGGCTTTATATGTAGAAAGAGTTCATATGGAAGGAGTATTCACAAAACAGGACCAAACAATAACTTAGTATTGTCACACAGATGAACAAGATGTGATAGGGGAGCATATAAACTTATCGTGAACAGTGAAAACAGTACAAAACCAACAAGAGTTGTTCTAAACATAACGCATTAATCCGAGGACGAGAAAACTTACAGCTGGGAGTAGTAAGTTTAAGGGTCCTGAAGCAAATATCATACAAGGCCTCATTGTCCAGAACCATGCACTCATCTGCGTTTTCAACAAGCTGGTGAACAGACAAAGTGGCGTTATAGGGCTCAACGACGGTATCAGAAACCTTAGGAGACGGGAATACAGAGAAAGTCAGCATCATCCGATCTGGGTATTCTTCCCGGATCTTTGAGATCAACAGTGTTCCCATCCCAGAACCAGTTCCACCTCCCAAGGAGTGGCAAACCTGAAACCCTGCACAGAGAATTCGACAAATCAAACATCAGCACCACGGAAACGCCTAGAACGAAACCTAACCAAGAAAATAACCACAAACATACAGAAGAAAAACACTAGAGAATGAAAACCGCAGGTAGGGAATCAAATCACCTTGCAGGCAGTCACAGTTCTCCGCCTCTTTACGGACAACATCGAGGACAGAATCGATAAGCTCGGCTCCCTCAGTGTAGTGCCCCTTGGCCCAGTTGTTACCAGCACCAGACTGGCCAAAGACGAAGTTGTCGGGACGGAAGATCTGACCGTAAGGACCAGATCTGATGCTGTCCATGGTGCCAGGCTCCAAGTCCATGAGGACAGCACGAGGAACGAATCTCCCATGAGTAGCCTCGTTGTAGTAAACATTGATACGCTCGAGTTGCAGATCGGAGTCACCTTGGTAGCGACCGGTCGGATCGATGCCATGCTCGGCGCAGACGACTTCCCAAAACTTGGCACCGATCTGGTTACCGCATTGGCCACCCTGGATGTGAAGAATCTCACGCATCTTTAGATATCGGAGAAATCTAGGATTTCGAAATTCGAAATGGGGAGGAGGACTGGAGGATAAAGCTAGGGTTTCCAAAGCGTAGTAGAACGTAATGGGGGACAGTGCCAGGGGCTTTATAGAGACTTTTTTAATTAAAAAAAAAAGCATTTGAACGGCTAATGGCGTATTTTTTGTAATGAGTGGAAATTTTGAAATTCAAATAAAACTGAAATGACCATACATATCCAAACGATGTCGTTTTCCGTAACGGATAAAAGATAAAGAAGATCACGTGATGATTGGCTGTCAATTTAAGACGTTTACCAAACCAATCACTAAGTTAAATTAAAATAATTTTTACATAAAAAACATTTAGATAATGAATAAACTCTCTTCTTTATTTTCCTGTCTGAAACAAACAGAAATCGAATTTAAGAGAGAAATTAAAGCCAATGGGCAACTTTGCTACATATTTCGTGACATAACCTTTAAAACGCCAAAAAAACAGAGATCAAGATTGCAAAAGTTGAATCCTCTACACTGCATATGGTGACTATGTTTGGTTAAAGTGGATGATGATGATGATGGTGATGGTGATGGTGATGGATGGTGATGATGCACATCCTAGCATTTTTCTGTGTAAAAAAAAACCCTTCAGGATGGAATATCAGAGAAGCGGCTGCATGTTTCCATAATGCTCCTCCTTATGCTCAATGTCCTGAAAGGAGAAAAGGGTCGATTTTTCTGTTCCCGAGCTCCTGGAACAACAAATGTCTCAAACCCAACATGCTTCAACATAAATACATCTACTTCCTAATGTTCTAATCTTCACAACAAAACCAATTACTTCATTGTCTAAGTATACCAACCACAAGGATGATGACTTGCAATAAAATTGTAAATAAAAAACTAGGGCTCAAAACAGTGGAAAACAAAACCCAGCAAAAATTTCAGTCAGCATAACATGGGTACTATACATATGCTTGCTTTGGGTCTCAACAAGTCTGACAGACAATTCTTTGATGCTAAATATGAACTAAGGTAGACCATGAAAGGAGCCATATTTGATTCCTAATATGGTCTAAACATATCTCCTGATCATGATACGTCACGTACTGTCCAATAAACAAGATGATTAAGATAACTCTTTAATGTCTAAGCAAACATATGGCATAGCAAAGGAACGTTTTAGGTCTAGTCGTGGAAAACCATCTTACCAGCAAATTCTACGGGGAAGAAGCTGATACCAATGTCGCCAAGCTTTTCAGCCCTTGTTCGTGTAGCTGCTCCACCAAAAGCAGGCAGGCTGGTCGAGTAATTTAACCGCACACAAGAAAAGAAAAAGCACAAATGTAAGGACTTTATACAATAGCCCAAGCCCCTGGGTTTAGGCCAACTGATTCACAGCACAGTAAAATACAGCAAAATGGTTATCAAGCTTTAAACGTATTTTCAATAATCAAAAGGCAAAGTCCCCGGAGAAAAAACCAGCAGTCATGCTAGCTACAGTATGTCTCCGATGGCTAAAGATCCTATATAAGTTGAATTGTTTCCCCAGAATCTTTTCCAAGTGTTGCTTGTTTGCCCTGAGTACAAGCCACACTATAATAAAGTTCGCTACTTTCCATAACTTTCCACCTCTGGAAGATTCTAAGTCGTCATTCTTTGTTCATCGTTTTTCTATCGACCCTGAGACAACAGTCACGATCAGTCCAACTTCCCACTTCTCAGAGACTTGGAAGAAATCACTCCAAGTTAAGAATTTGTCCCTCAAATGTCATATATTTGGTACATCAGGTGAGGTGACAAATCTACTCTAGCTACTAAAAGGCTAAACTTGCAGAAGATATAACACTGAGAAGACGGCCAGATTAAGGATGAAACATCAAGAAGTGGCAAATGATAAACGGAAAACTTAACACAAAGGCTATGACAATGTATACATGAGAAAAAAAACGTGTTCAATATACATTATAACAGTTCCAGAGTGCACTCTTTCCCCACAAAACATTATCTGAATAACAATCAGTATCAGTTGTCTCCTATATGATCCATGAGTTTCCAGGATTTGTTAATCATGGATCAGCACACGAAAGTACCTTTGTAAATGTTCAAATCTTTTATCTACTAAAGCTTGAAACTCTATCATCTAATCAGTAAATCCTAGTTATAAATATGCGATCTTGATTCCTATAATTCTATTATATACAATGATACAATCTCCTACAAGGCTTAGTTCTAGCGTTGTACACTTTATTCTTACACACTTTATTCTTACATACGGATAACCGAGACATTTTAATCTGTGGTTAAGAAGTTTATAAAGATTCTACTCTAGTAGTGTTATGAACGAGGAAGGACAAAACGTGGAATGGAAGGACAAATATGGGAAGACGTCTAAGAACTAGAAATGTTGACACTTGAGTATCATATTAAGTTATTAACATCAAGAAAAGCTAGTATACCTCTTTGTAGATACCAAAAGCATAACTTACATAATTAACTGCAGCCAAAATCTGATAGCAGAAGTGGCGATGAAGGGTCACCAGGTCTTGGTAGCCAACATGGCCACCAAAGGAATCCGGTTTGACATTTCACGACGAAAATACGGAGATTTGAACCGCATCATGCTATTCCTTTTTTCTTGCTATCATGGCCCTCGGAATCTGCTTTCTTTGTATTGTTTTGTGAACCATCGGCATAAGCTCTAGCAAGGATAATTGAAAAAATGTCATGTAGGGTAAATTTGCATTATAGCTAAGTCTTGTCAGAATAACTAAAATAAACTTACAGTTTGCATTTCTTTGCGTTCTGCTTGATTATTAAGACCATATCCATGGACTTCTTTTGGTGCTCCTTGGTCTGAGAGTGGAAATCTAAACCTTCAATTGTTTCACAGTCAACTTTACAGATACGACACCATGCTGCAGTTCCTAACTTCCGTTTTCTTGAATTTTCAAAGGGTTCAACAACTCCCTATATGCAAAGAGGAAGAATGCATAGTCAACAAGCTTAAAGGTATGCAACCAAAATATTGAGACACATCTATATACTAGAAAACAGATGTAGAACAAATCAAAATACGAAACCTTAAAAGGAATGGAACCACTATCATCTGGAAATCCTTGGAGGGAATATCTGCTCCTAAATCCCGGGTCACCGGGCCGGCGAGGGATACCATTTAAACCAACTTGCTTTTCCAACCTTGAAATACCAAGAAAACCATGCGGACCAAATTGATCATCTCCCCTTATATGGCTGGGTAGGACATCATGTTTCATCACAACATGATGACGTAATTGCTCGTCGATTCTAAAATTACCACAAGCTTCAAACTCCCTTCTAGCCAAGTGGCTAGGAAGATCAAACCGATCCCTACCTGCAGTGTCATTCATGCTCAATTGACCACCACCACCTATATATCGATGACCAAGTTGGTTCTCTCCCAAATCATTAAAAGGCTGGAAGAATCTTGAGGTGGGACCTGAATCAAAATCAATCTTGTACTTCTCCTGAGGCCAAAGTGCACTCGTGCCAAATTCTCTATTAAATGGTTTCCAAGAACAAGCCCCGGATCTTGGAAAGGAATCACTATCTAAGTGAGAAGGCCCAGGGGTATGCTTGAAACCTTCGTCCAAGAGCCTATGTCCAGGAGGCTCCAATGAAACAGGGTTTAAACGGTCACTTGGCAAAGGCTTGAACCTTCCATCTCTTAATCCAAGAGCAAATGAGTTCCTTGCACTAGGGGATACCTGCGAAGCATTAGCAGGGGGAAGATGCACTTCATCATAAGGACCTTCAGGTCTGTGATGGCCACGACCATAAGGAGGCACTCTCCCTTGAAACGATTGAGCAACAGAAAAGTCAGTTCGAGTACCAGACAAAATTTTGGGGCCATGAGGCCGAACTAGGGGAGGGTATCTAGGTGCAGACATATGTTGTGGAACCCCTGCTGATTTTTGCCCAGAAAGTGCACCAGGTCTTTGTTTGGAATTTATAAGCTCATGAGTAACTGGTGGCTGATTATTGCCTGATTTGATACCTAGCGAAACCTGCATTTGCGGAAGATCTCTATTCTTCTCCACTTTTTCAATATTTTCCCCAGCCTTAGCAGCTTCAGCAGCTATTCCTTCTATAACAGAACCCTTCCCTGCGTTCCTCGGGCCATTGACATCCTTTTCTTTTATCATTTGCTTGCCTTCAAGCTCGCTTTTCACTTCACGGTTCTCAACAGCTGCGCTGGACCCACGGTCAGATTCAACGGGTTCCTCAGTCCCGTTGCCTTTATGCTCAGTATCAAATTTAGTTGTATCTTCTTCTTCTGTACATTTCACTTTATTTTCAGCACTCGGATTGACATTCAAGGTAGACTCAGCTTCTCTATCATCTTCAACTCTTTCATCACCTTGCTTTCCCACTGTAGGACTTGAAGTTACTCCATCCTGCTTCTTGGGTGCCAAAGGTAACTGATTTTCAGTCCCCTGAGTTATACCCTGCATCAAGGCTGGCTGGCCTGGTGCAGGCTGACCTGATCTCTCTGGCAAAGCACTACCAGAATGCAGGCTCATTTGTGGTTCAAATCCATGTTTTTGCATACTCGGCTGGTGCAACTCTGTGGCTTGTTGATATTTCTGTAAACCCTGAAGTGTGCCTTGGGGACGTAAATGAGACTGCGAAGCTACAGGTGGATGAGTGAAAACGCTCTGCTGATGCATCTGATTATGAACTACACCCGATGATTGTCCCATGGTAGGTTGCTGTGACAAGGGCTGCTGTGCTGGGTGCATAACTTGGCCTTGAGGGACTGAAGGTCCTACTTGCTGATGGACTGGGGGCTGCTGTTTTTGCATTGGAAAGTGAGATTGGGGAGAGCGTTGATGGGACATCTGTCGAGGAAAAAGATTCTGCATCTGAGTAGGTCGCAGTGTTGGTTGATTTTCAACCTGATAGTGCACAGGTCTATTACTCTGAAGCCCCACGTGATTTTGCTGGTTAAAATGTGGCTGCAAATGATTCAGATGACCATTAAAATGAGCAGGTGGCTGCAGTGCCCGAGCCTGGCCAGCAGGACGCGACGGCGGTATATTTTGAACAGTGTTAGTCTGAGAAGGAGGCACGTGATGCTGCATGTGAATCTGAGATTGATTTTGCCCAGGAAACTGCTGATATTGAGGTGCTGGAGCATGCTGCAATTGAGGCTGACCAGAGTATACTTGTGGAATAGATTGTGTTTGGGAATGTGACTGAGGTTGACCATGCAAAGCTGGCAATGTCTGCGATGGGAATTGAGGAACTGAAGGGTATGTTTGAGACAGTGGTGCAGCAACTGTCAGATTCATAGATTGAGATGCTGGAGCTGCCTGAGAAACAACATGAGATTGTGGCTGAACCGAGCACTGAGCTTGTAGTTGTGTTTGAAGCTGCACCTGATTTTGACTTAGAGGCTCAGACTTAATTGGTTGACGCACATGTGGAGCTTGGTGTTGGCCAGTAATTAGGGTTGGTTGAGCTTGAGATTGCAATGGTTGCTGCAAGTTCGGTGCAAATGCTTGCTGCTGATATGGAAGGTATCCCGAATAGCCCTGGTAGTATTGCTGATACTGTTGCTGCTGGTACCATTGTTCTGGAGTTGGGGTTCGTACCGCCTGACCCTGGGGGTTAGGAACTGGGGTGGCTTGGGAAGTGGTCATAGCAGTACCTGCTTGAGTGGAAGCTTGTGCCTGACCTTCGCCAGCTGCCATGCCTGAGCAAGCAATCGGCTGGGAACCCTGTGATTCCTGAACCCTAACTTGTTGAGTGCCCTGGCATCAATCATTACAAACATATACTGTTAAAAACTAAAGCTAATCATTTATTGTTCTTTGGAAATAAACAGAGTTATGGGACTCACAGGACAAACTTGAGCATGCTCCAGCACTTGATGATGTACAATCTGAACTCCACACCTGTTGCATACAACTAGTGAATTACCAAAAGCGCATCCCAAGCAATGTGATGAGCTCTCTGACAGAGTACCCAGCCATGTGCATCCACTCTTCTGGTATAAACAATGAACCTTAGTTTTGCCAATAGTATCAGCCAATACTTTGTTCGTCTCCATGAGCGGCTGAAATACAGTGGCTACAATGTGTTAATTGCCAAACAAACAAGACAGACAAAGGAAGGCTATCGAGAAAACTTTAGTATGAGAAGGAAAAACCTTTGCATCCGCTTGAGTCACCAAGTAGCCATCATATGGGCATGCCATACTCGTGCTTGCGATGTATGTCAAACATGGTTTACAATACAAGTGAGTGCACATAGACTGCAGAGCTTCATTTGGGTAAACTAGCAGACGGCAGACAGGACAGAAGTACTCTCCGGCGAGAGATTGAATGTTTGGTATGCATTCAATGTCGAAACCCATGGCTTATGCTTATCTGACCTTCAGCTTCAAAGGGTAACTGGCATCAGTGAACGTTACGGTACCTGATCAAAAAAGAAACAAGGAAGATTTTAAAGCGAAAGTAACAATTAGTAACCAATATACACTAGGATACTCTAAATGCTCGTTTAATGATTCGGGAAGGAATAGAAGGCAACAAGCTTGAGACGAGTCTAGATGAGGTTCTATTGAGAAAGCAATGATGCCATGCCAACAGAACAGTGCAACGAGATTATAGATTCCAAAAAGAAAACCAGGCAACTCCATGTTCACCAGACAGAGGAAGCACAAAGATCAAAACACGCGCGGCGTCTTTAAGGAAAAAAGAGAATGCGGAATGGTCACGCCAAGAAACACATAAGCATACCAAAAACCAGAAATTATCAATTCTCGTTCGCTTCTTTTTCCCCATCTTTCCCGGAAATCATCAGAAAACGAAAATCTTACACTAACAGAGACTTTCCCCAACATTTCCTACGATCAAAACTCAAAACCCTAATCCGAGCAGAACAAGAGAAAGAAAAGCAAGTAAATTTTCAGTCGCAATAAAAGACGAGAGCGAGCAGGTTAGGTTTCCTCGATGGAAATCAAACGAAATTAGACAGGCCCAAAAGCACCATTGATGAGGTCAAGAGAATCTTCTTACAAGTCAATATTCCGACGATCGGCCAGCGACGGAACGGAGTAGAGAGAGAGAAGAAGAAGAAGAAAAACCTTTTGCGCCTGAATGGCAAAATTGTGAATTTATTCACGAACTATTTATTTCCAAACTTTTAGTACATTTCGTTTTTAAATGCATATATATAGATCTAATGTTTTAGTAACGAGATTCGTTAGCTATAAAGCACGACAATTAACGACGTTAATTACACGTGTACGTTATCTTTTTAATTTGTTGATAATTCCGTCATCCGTGAGTCCCACGGTAATTAATTTAACGCCGTTTCTTTTGTAAATTAATTATTCATAAATAGCATTTTGTTTAAACGAGATTTAGCAATTTCAGAAAGTAATCAACTTTAAATGGCAGCTGATTGTGAAATTAATGTCTGAAAAGTGAAAAGGGAGGAGACTGAAACCCTCCAGACGATGTAGAAGGTTCAATCTGGGATCAATAATATTATATTTAATTAACCATAAAAAAAAAAGTTTATAGTACTCGTGGAAATGGTAACGACGAGTCGCAGCTCAGGACGTCGTGAAGTAGTTACGCCATTGGAGTCCCTTTCTGACCTCGCTTTCCTGCATAACCACGCTATTTTTCGACGACCCATTTGCTTAAACCGTGTTAATCACACGTTTGTTTTTTGTCTACTGGCCATTGCCCAATAGCTGCTCTCCAGATTTCGATTAGCTTTTCGTCACTGTAGCTATCGGCACATCTGGAGCAACAATGGCGGATCTCAATCCCCGGACCGAGATTTCGTTCCTCGAGACCTTCGTTTGCAGCGCGTTCGCCGCTTGTTTTGCTGAGGTATCGAGTTTATGACGATGCCGGCTTTTGTCGATTTCACTGCATATCTATGGATTGGAGGTTGAAAGTTTTTGAGTTACGCAGTTTCTGGATTTCACGGATTTGGATTAATAGAGTTTCTACTTAGGGGTTTATCAGTAATCTCTTGGATTGGTGATGTGCCATTTTTGGTCATGCGGAGAATTATGTTTAGGATTAGCCGCATTGTGTTGAAGCTTCGAAATTGAGCTTCAATATGAAGGAAATTCTTTGAGTAACGTGTCGTTTTAGGGCTTGGAGCTGGAAATTTTGTGAGATGTAGTTACAAGGATTTGATGATTCTAAATTTCGGGGAAATTTCCGTGATCCATGTTGAAATCTTTAGGAATGTGACTTTTTTGGGTTTATCGTTTAGAAAACTTTCAAGCAGAACATTCATGGGTCAATTCGTGATGAGTTATGTCAGAAATTTGGCAGCTGGTTTCAAAGTTTCTGATGGTTTTTCTGAAAATTTCTTAATGTTGATGTTAATCTCAGTTGAGAAAAGATCATCCATTTGTTTTCTTCAAACCTGCTCATAATCGAAAGGTTCTGAAATCTCATCGCGTTTCAACTTGTCTCATTGATAATCTATGGAGCAAACTAATGGTAATCCGTCGTAAAACGGGGGTTATCGTTTTATCCTGCAAAGATGGCCTAATCTGTTGCTTTTTTACTTCCTCTCTTCATTTGGCAACAAAAAGTTCTATTCGGTTCCGATTTAAGATAATGCTTGTGGGGGTGAAGGAAAGTTAGATTCTTCTAAGTTCGACTTTATTTCTTTATCCGAATCTTGAACTTTCGGGGTTGTTTTCTGTTTTTGATCATTCTCTAAGGAGAAGATTATTCTTTACTGTTTCCCTTTTTATTGTTTTTTGCTTTGCTCCTTTTGTATGGACTTGTTTCTAGTCAGTTTTGTTTTTTCATGTACTGGAAATCCTCATTTGTTGTATTGCCTGTGGGTTTTGCAGCTCTGTACCGTACCTTTGGACACCATCAAGGTGAGACTTCAACTCCAAAGAAAAATCGCCACAGGAGATGGCACGATTTTGGCAAAGTACAAGGGTTCATATGGTACTCTGACGACAATCGTGAGGGAAGAAGGTCTTCCCGCTCTCTGGAGAGGCATGATTGCAGGGTTGCATCGCCAATGCATTTATGGTGGCCTAAGGATCGGGTTATATGAGCCCGTGAGTATATCAGATCATATAGTTTCCTTCCTTCCTTCAAGCTCTTTTTTTTTACTCGCTTCTTATAAAATACTTACCTGATGAAAACGTGTAACTACAAACAATCACGGTTCTGAACAGGTCAAGACGTTTCTGGTTGGAAGTGATTTTGTCGGAGACATTCCATTACATCAAAAGATTCTAGCAGCTTTGTTAACGGGTTAGTTCAGTTGATCTTCTGTTTGTGATCATCCCTCGGAAACTTCTTTTCAAATTAATCGTCCGTGTTTATAAAAATAATCTTTGTTGACAATACTTCCAGGGGCTATTGCCATCATAGTAGCTAATCCAACTGATCTCGTTAAAGTTCGCCTTCAAGCTGAGGGTAAATTGCCAGCTGGGGTGCCTAGGCGTTATGCCGGGGCCGTCGATGCTTATGTCACTATAGTGAGGCAGGTTAGTTTCGTTTATATAACAATCTCAAAGACTTTGCTACGAAGAGTAGCATTTTGATATGTTCCTGGCAAAAAAAACAGGAAGGACTTGGTGCACTATGGACCGGGCTTGGCCCCAATATAGCGCGCAATGCTATCATAAACGCTGCTGAGCTAGCCAGTTACGATCAAATAAAGCAGGTGATGTTATTTTCTGGAAAGGGGTTGCATTATTGTTTAGCATATAAATGGATTTTTATTGCTTTGACTGTAGTCCACATTATCCTGATACGTCCATACATATGCAGACAATTATGAAAATTCCAGGCTTCACAGACAGTATTCTAACTCATCTACTAGCTGGTCTGGCTGCAGGCTTTTTTGCTGTCTGTATTGGTTCACCCATTGATGTGGTAAGCATTCAATCTCATCTTTACATAAAGCAAGAAGATTTCAGAACCTCTTAGTCTTGTTTCATCATTGCAATACATCTAAATTATTTATATCTCTTATATGGACAAGTTAGATCTGAATGAGCATGATAGATAGTCATAATCTTTTCTCATAGTTATTATGCAAACTGCCCCAAGTCATAGACTCTTATGACTGCTGCGGACGACATTGTTGAAATCCCATAGGTTGAGTTCTATCTACAAGTTTATGTCAAACGGCGTTGGATCTAATAAGAGTTGGGTTCATTTAAAACTACAACTTGTTGGAACATGTTAAAAGAAGTTGAGGGACAAAACAATGTCCCAACCCATGAATATAATGCACGTAGCCCCTTCCCTCAAGTTGGAAAGACACGGATAATCACATAGTAGCGACACTGAATATAGCATCTGTGTGTGTTTGTGTCTGCAAACTCGTTTTCTGCTCCCTGCCCTCTGCGTTTGCGATTAGACTTTGGTAAATGCAGCATTATTAGATAATAATGCTACCGAGGGTGAAGAAGGAGAGATATATTCTAGAAGAAAAAAATCACTTGTTACTACAAGAAGCAAAAAGAAAAGTTTAATGTGTGGTATCTGTACATGGCTCTTGTGTTCCAGGTGAAATCTAGAATGATGGGGGATTCTACCTACAGAAACACGGGCGATTGTTTCGTCAAGACTTTAAAGAACGAGGTATGATGGTTCTATATTACCAAAATCCAACAGATATGGTCTTCTTTTTTGCAAATAAAACTGTTATGGGATGTGAAGTAGATGATTTTAGACAAATGACTCTCGATACAAACTTGCATGGTGTTCAAGTCTCTGCTGTGTGTGGTGTGTTGTATTTTTGAAACTTTTAAAACAAGATTTTGGGTTTTTTTTTGGTGTGGGGGGGGGGGGGGATGAACAGGGATTTCTGGCCTTCTACAAAGGGTTTCTCCCAAATTTCACCAGACTTGGGACGTGGAACGTCATCATGTTCCTCACTCTCGAACAAGTAAGCTTCTTCTTCTTCCCAATCTGCACGTCTGCTGATGATATCATTTTCATCGTCTGGGATTTTTTAACTCGTGATTCTGTTTCTGCTCCATTAGGTGAAAAGGGTGTTTGTAAGGGACGTGTTCTACGACTGAGTCTCACTCAGTCGTCCGCGTACAGCTATAGCTCTACCCCCCATGTATTTGTTTAGGTACATGTACACTTCACCAATTACCCTTCCATTTGTTTTCCTTGAGTTGTTATTCTTTGGAACTTCATCCTCATGAACAACGTGATCGAGCTAGGTATTCGTTTAGATGTGGCCTTTTTTTGGCTTTTTCTTCTCTCTTTGGTGTGGTGATGATCCTTTTCCCAAATAATGATTTTCTTTTTTTGAAAATTCTAAAATGGTGTTTTAAATAGAAAGGGAAAAGAACCATTCTTTTTGAAACTAAAACAGCTTTTAATTATTACAGTCCACAGTTCACTTTCTGTCTTGCCTTATTAGATCAACGGCAGTACATAGAGAGAAACATCAGATGCCAACACATAATGCCTTTTTTTAAGCCTTTGGAACCAAGTAAACCCTAGCTTTGATGACAGATCCTCCGCCATGGCTGCCGAGCTTGAAGCCTGGACTTACAGGGAACCCTACTACCTGTCCTCCAGGGACTCGACCTCCTGAGAATCTGACCACGCTCTCCATGTACTCTGGATGGAACTCCGCTCCCCTGCTTGCCTCAAAGTGACTCGGCACTGGCTCTAGCGAGAATACCAACAAGTGTAGCAGCCAAACCGCTTTCGCTAATGTCAGAAACTCCCCGTAGAACTGAGTCCTCGGGTGGTTCCCGGCTTGAACCATCCTTCGCTGCTCTGAATCCCCGAATAAGGATTCTTCCATCTTCGGGTGAACGATTGCGAGGTACTTCTTTGAGCAGAACTTTCCAAAATGGCAAGTGGGTAAGATCCCGAGCAGCTCGATAGGGTCCATGGCTTTCATGTCTTTAAACTGAGCAAAGCAGTCCCGGCGGTACTGGTCTGGGTTTAGAAGAGAAGAGAGACTTCCATCCATGTAGAATGTCTCGTGATCAAACCCTTGGAAGATTTTCCGACAGATGTAGGACTCCAATGCATATTTGGCGTGTTGGGTTGGAACGGATGACTGGAGAGAGGAGGGTACAGCTGCCATGGCCGTTGCCATGCCATTGCTGTCTGCAGCGACGGAGGCAGCCTCAATAGAGCGGACACCAGCCGCAATGTCCCAATGTGCGGCTCTCATTAGGGACAGTAGAAGCCTTGTGAATGATTTTGAAGCTTCTTTCACCTGAGTCATCGTCATTTCTAGCAACTCCGGCACTGGAGCAACAGCAACTGTTCATCGGACAGAGAAAACATAGAGTTACGTCCAAACATCGATAAAAAAAAATGGCGGATATGGAGAGAGAGAGAGAAGAGAGGGAAGAGATAAAGAGAGGGACCTTGTGTGCTGCAGCTGACTCTCCGGTTTGAAACCGAGCGGTTTTTCTTGCTTCCATTGCCGAGGCTGGTGACGAGCTTGAGCTTCTCCTTCAGATTCTCTATCTCTGCATCCTTGACCTTTACTTCTCTCTTCAGCTCCTCCACGACGGCCTCGTACGGCGCCACCGCCTCCCTCAGCATCCCTCCCCAGCCGTTTTTCTTCCGGCTGCCGCCGGTGGCTCTCATCCTCCTGTACCTCTCCCTCAGGCCGCCGATCCGCCTCAGCTCCGCCACCACCGCCACGTCAGCACCGTGCATCTTCTCCGGGTTCCACGGCGAGTGCGCCTCCTGCAGCGCCACGTAAGCCCTCTTCAACGCCGCCGCCGCCACGAAGACTTCCTCCATCACCGTGTCCATCTGCTTCACCATCACCAGGCTCACCGTCGCCGCCGCGCCGCCACCGTTGCTCTTAGCCCTAAATGTCTCCTCTTCCTCCTCCACCAACGCGTCCTCGTACCGAATCTTCCCCTCCTCCTCCTCCTCCTCCTCATCCTCGGAGTCGTACCCACCCCGGCGGTTTCCGGCGAGTTCTTGCCGGCCGGAGGCGAGCGGGTGCAACAAGCAGGACGCAGTCACTCGCTGAATCAGATCCGTGAAGTTGGAGACCTTGTTCGCCATTTCTCCTCGCTTCTTCGCCTTCCAGAAGTCTCCGCTCGTGCTGCGAACACAAGCGCCGTTAGAAACATGGAAACGAATTATCCGGAGCTGGAAAACCGCCGGAATCCATAGATAGATCCTTACCTGCGGGGGTGATCACGAGTCTCGGATCGCAAAGCAAATCTGGGAGGATCTCTGTTGAACTGAACGGAGTACCAGTACTCAAGGTCCTTGGGCTCAGTATCCAGGCTCTCTCGACCACTCTTCTTCTTCTTCCTGCACAATGACGAACCAACGTTGCCGGAAAACTTAGCCGGAGAAGTATTTTCTCCGAACAACGACGGGAGCCGGAGAGATCACAGTAGCATCTGAACCCCTCGGGTTGGAGGGAGAGAGAAGAGGGGGGTGGAGACTGGAGAGTGGTCTAAGTGAAATACCGAAAGTACCCCTGACCAGTTCACGCGTGGACCACGGTCCGTAACTTTTTTAATACGTCACTGACTGAGCTCGTGTAACTTTTGGATATTATATGTTTTGACCCCTTCTTATTTTTTGTAACGATTTGAACCCTAAAAATAATCTTGTCTTTTGCCCCCCCCCAAAATGGAAAAGTTTCTCTTTTCAGTTGTTTTTTTATTATTATCAAATTCAAAGTCATGCCACGTCCATACTTAGATATCATTCCCTCTTATCGATATATATCTTTCTCTAATGTTTTCATTTTGGTAAATTTGATCGGGAAGAAGATTTGATAACCACCATACTATAATATTAATTTATATTGTTTGACATCTTCCAATGAGCAAATACTATATGTTACTTTTTATTGCTAATTTTCTCTTCCGGACCATCACTTCTTTAAAAAAAACCTCCAATACAATAATAGGGTCTTGAATTGAAGAGGTTTTTGGAGTTTTTGAAATCTAAAAAAAAATTGACAATCAAGTTTTTGTATAATTAGTTTTTCTAAATAATTGGAAAATAATTTTAATAATAAAATCCACTAAAAACTAACAAAACTTTAATTTGAATGGTAATATCTTTTATTTTGAGTTTTTGGTTTTATTTTTTAGTTTTTGGTTTAAGGTTTTTGTAAATCCAAAAAAATGAAGTTTTTTAATTTTTATTTGATTTTTTCATCAGAATAGTTTTTCAAGTTTTTAGGAAAACCAAAATTATAAAAACTTGATAGATTATTTTTTTGGTTTTTGGAATCCACAAACTCTAAAAACCCCAACGATTTACAAAAACCAAAAATCAAAAATAAAATCAAAAAATCAAAAACTAAAGCCAATAAACTCAAAATAAAAACTACGTTCATCCGACCCCTAGATTCCAAGATTCTATATAGGGGTGGGCATTTCGGGAAACGGTTCGGGTTCGGGACGGAATAGATCGGTTCTGTTCTTTCGGTTTTACAAAAATAGGTACCAATCGGGTTTTTTATTGTATTCGGTTCGGTTCGGTTTCGGTATCGGTTCGGTTCGGTTCCGGGTTTTATTAAAAAAAATGTTAGATTTCCTTTAAAAATATTCGGTTTTTCGGGATTTTTAAAGTTCGGTTCGGTTCGGTTCCGGGAAAATTCGGTTCTCTAAAAATGGTACCGTTCGGGAAATAACAACGGTTTCGGGTCGGGAAAAATACCGTTTTAACGGTTCGGTTCGGTCCGGTTCCGAAGAACCGAACCGAAACGCCCAGCCCTAATTCTATATTGTGTAATTAATATATCTCCTAAAAATAAGGACAAAACAAATCTATGTACGCATTAGCCGATGGCATGCCTTAATTTCTAATCGTAGTTACATAGATTAAAGAAAGATATATATATATATATATATATACATATATGTATATGATTCAAACAAAATCTAACTTGCTTTGAAAAGGAAGTACGCACTTGATTAAGGAATTGTATGTATATACATACACGCAATATATATATATATATATATATATATATATATATATATATATATAAACAAACTCATCCTTAATCATAACGAAGTCACTCATATGTTAATTAGAGAAGCCGATGGATGGGATTACAGATTAATAAAATCAAAACATATGCTTGTTTATATATACCTGCTGGGACAAAATGAGCACAGAAGTATGCTTGGCACCATTTCTTTGAGAGAGAGAGAGAGAGAGAGAGAGTCTTCTGCGAGATCCTATGAAAAACGAGTAGAAGAGGGCTTGGTGTGAATTTATTAAGGATTAAAAAAACCCGATATTTATAATTAAACAACCAAAAATAATATGTGTATATGTGTGTGTATATATATATATATATACACACACAATCGAAGACGTGTCGAAAAATGGGCAAATGAGAAAGTGGTTTGATGCGACTTACATCGAACTTATGCTAAGAAAAAAATAATAATAATGCAAATTATATGTGGGGTTAAAACATTTTGCACTCTCCTATACCTTTACGCTGACGTCCAATATAAGATAAGATATTCATGTCTGTGAAAGGTTTTTTTTCTTAATTGTTTGATTTATGACATTTATATAATACTGTCGGCTTGAAAACAACAGTTGATTACAAACACTTCTTCACGTATAAGATCATATATACATATATATATATTTGTATGTGTTTATGCTGTAGAAATTTGGGTATGCATCAAACCCTTAAACTTCCCATCGAAAACCCTAAAAACACACTAATTAATATCGATCTTTTTTGTCTTCAAAACATAACGTTGGTAGAGAGATGTCTGGTAAAAACTAAATCCCATGCAGTTACGTAACTAAACATTAAAGGTACATATATATATACATATATACACATAAAATATATATGTATAATAATAACGCATATGAGGAGGAGATCGACATATGGGATATATATATATATATATACATATATTCAAGTCGTGAGTGCGCGTGCACGCATGAGAGATATGAGTTCAGAAGAGGGTACGTACATATAGATTTAGAATGGTTTTGGTACGTGTCACAATCGTAAAAGGCTCCTTGCGTCTCGTGGGACGTCAATTTTGGAGCAATCCATTGAGAGGGACGATATGTCGATACAACGACGGGCTATAACAGCGAGCAGCAATAATGCACAAAACATTTCACATTCCAATTACCCAAAAAAAAAACAAAAATCGAATAATGCATAAAAAGGAAGATCCAAGAACACTGAACAGTGCCCGAAAACCGATCAAATAGAGTGCTGAAAAAGGTTGTAAGAACATAGAGAGAGAGAGAGAGAGAGAGAGAGAGAGAGAGAGAGAGAGAGATTGGGAGGAAGCATTTGGAAGAACGCTTAGTTTGGTCCGACACCCGACACCAAGAGATCGCTTAGGACACTCTATAAATAACCCATTTTTCTCTCTTTGTCCCTACACTCCCGCTCCCTTTCTCTCTCAAATTATTCTATCCTCTTCCTCAAAGGCTCACTCATACTACATATCTCGAAATGCATCTATGTTTTTTTCCTTCTTTATTATTATATTTTCCAATATCAAAATGTTTGTGTTTTACATTTTTATCCAATATATATATATATATATATATATATATACACACACACGAAGGTGAGCCTTAATTTGTCATTGAGATGTTGTTAACGTGGTCTACATGTCATGGATTCGAATTATGAAACTTCTCACTGAATTTTAATACACCATAAATACTTTGTGTATCGAACTACTCTAAAATATAAATACATATATAGAATTCTATTAATATAATAACAAACTGTTATAATTTCGTATATTGATAATATATAGAAACCATTTAGTTTTTTTTCCTAAAGACCTTTAGTATTTTCCGATGAGATCCCAATATATCCTCACTTTTAATGTTCACTTTCAATACACGCTGGCAATTTTCCGCTAAGATTGACAAATTTATATTAGATAATAATAATAATAATAATAATAATAATAGGGGGAGGGGGGAACTCGAGTGGGAAAATGACAACATATATAGGTCCATTTAGCTTATGAAGAAGCTCTCAATTTCACAAAAACAAAAATAAGAGCTATGGATATGATATAATCCCAAATTCCTCCCATTTCAACCGAAATCAGTCATTTTCCGATATATATATATAAACTTCAAGTCAAAAAATGGGATGGATCATAAAACTGTGATAAATTGAATAAATTAAAAAGAGAAAAAAAAAATGATATGATGCGTCTGCCGGGAGTCGAACCCGGGTCTATTGCTTGGAAGGCAATTATCCTAACCGTTGGACTACAAACGCCCCTGATTGCTGATATTTTTTGCTCAAGAAGGATGATGTCTCTTCAAATATTCTAAAATTCCCCGATGTTTTCTTCTCTGACCAAACTCCATATTTATATTTATAATTTATTTATTTACTTCCCCTTGAATAATTCATCCATCTCAAAACGTAAGCGGACGCCTTATGGTCCCCCTTTAGCTCCCGATTTCTCCGTCGATTCCTTCTCCCTCTCCATGGCTCTGTAATTTCCTGTTTCAGGTACCATTCTTTTCTCATTCGTCACTCGCAATGGCTTCTGCTGACATTTTTCTTCATCGAATTCTTTTCTTTTTACCATTGTTGTTTTTACGTGATTCGGTTGACTGTTTATCGGACGTGTGCATGATGGGTGTAATCCAGGGGGAGTTTTCCGCAATTTGGCGGATGTTTCGGCTTTGAATGCAGACAACTTTTGGGCTAAAGGAAGGGTGTCTTTGAGTTTTGTTTTCCGATGAAATGTTCCCGTTTTGTTTCCGAGGGATTGTGGATTAGTAATAGCTGAGGATTATAGAGATGGGTTTTCATTTCCATGGGGATTGATTGTGAAGGAACTCTGGTTTTGGTCAAGCTGAGATTTTTGGGGATTGCCCGTAAAATCCCGTCCGTCTTCATGGGCTTCTCGTCATTATTCGGACTTTTGAGTTTTGGCTCTGGGAGAAGTTCTTAGCCTTTCAAAGCATCTGGGTTTCAGGTGTGGGTGTAGATATGGATGAGGAGGCTAGTTCTTGGATTCGAAGAACCAAGTTTTCTCATACGGTTTGTCACCGTATGGATTCGTCGAGGTTAGCCTCTGTCCCTTTTACCCTTAACCAAGAGAGGATTTCTGGAATGAAGACAAGACCAAAGTCGTCGTCTTCGAACAAGCAGTCAATGTTTGATGATGATGATTCAGGGACTCTGCGGAACCCCGTGAGCTCGCAGGCCGACCGATATGTTGTTGGTTCGGAGATTCAGAGAAACCCAGTCACCAATAAACAGAGGTCTGTATCTCCATCACCACAGATGGTTCTGACCGATACGTTCAAGGAAGCACGCTCTGATCGTAAGAGATTTTCCACTCCACACCCCAGAAGAAGGACAGAGTCGGAGAAAGGAATGAAGATGAAGTGGTTCCGTAAAGATTCACTTGGAAAGAGTTCATTCAGTTCACGGTCCCCATCGCAGGTGAATCCTATCAGGGATCTCGGCACGCTGAAAATTCAAGAAAGGGTCATCACCAACATCAAGAAGGAAACTCCATGGACAAAGTATTTCGATCATGGAGGTCGTAGAGTCAATGCTGTGGACACGACCGATGAATACAGCATCGATATGTCCAAGCTGTTTCTTGGCCTCAGGTTTGCACACGGGTTACATAGCCGACTTTACCATGGGAAATACAATGACGAGGCAGTGGCTGTAAAGCTCATAACCGTGCCTGATGATGACGAAAATGGATGCTTGAGAGCTCGTTTAGAGAAACAGTTTACCAAGGAAGTCACCCTTTTATCCCGGCTTCACCACCCAAATGTTATCAAGGTGTGTGTGTGTGTATATATATATATGCCCGTGTGTGGTCGGTATCGTGCTTTTGGTATGTTCAATTCTTTACATTATCCTTTATCGTTTATGTGCTGAAACAGTTTGTTGGAGCGTGCAAAGATCCGCCCGTGTATTGTATCATCACTGAGTATTTAGCCGAAGGGTCTCTGAGGTCGTATCTCCACAAGCTCGAGAACAAGACCCTTCCTTTGCAAAGGTTAATCGCGTTTGCTCTAGATATTGCGAGAGGGATGGAATATATTCACTCGCAACACGTAATTCATCGGGATCTTAAGCCAGAAAATATATTGATAGATGATGAATTCCACTTGAAGATTGCTGACTTTGGCATAGCCTGCGAGGAGGAGTACTGTGATCTGGTGGCTGATGACCCGGGAACTTATAGGTGGATGGCACCTGAGATGATTAAACGGAAACCATACGGGCGAAAAGCCGATGTTTATAGCTTCGGACTCGTTCTTTGGGAAATGGTTGCGGGATCAATCCCATACGAGGACATGAACCCAATTCAAGCTGCATTCGCAGTTGTCCACAAGGTACCCATAACACACAAAATTTCTGTCTCTTCGCTTCTGTCATGGTCGTGATCTTGCATTCGTTTGAAAAGTCATCTCGTAAGGTCACGAGAACATTTACGTTGTTTGAAAAGTTATTCTCGTAAGATCACAAGAGATATGTCTGTTTAAGAATTCATTATAGATCATGAGAACATCATGCAACTGATGAAAAAAAATACTGCTTTATCATGTTTCAGCCATTTGAGGAGACATGAAAAGTTTTGGAATTTTATGTTTTGAACATGTCCAGAACATGAGGCCGCCAATGCCGGATAATTGTCCGGCAGCCATGAGAGCTCTGATAGAGCAGTGCTGGTCGCAGCAACCGGACAAGAGACCGGAGTTCTGGCAGATAGTGAAAGTGATGGAAGAGTTTGAAGCGTCAGTGAGCCGCGATGGAACCCTAAATCTGATCTGTAAGGACCCAAAGAAAGGGTTGAAACATTGGATTCAGAAGCTCGGACCAGTTCATGGCGGGAACTCGACTGGTTCCTCCTCCATGCCTAAGCCTAAGTTCGCTTGATTGAATGTCTCTTTTTTTTTGTGTGTGCACATCATTTGCTGTTGTAATTAAAAAAAAAAAAAAGAGGGTCTTTCGGTTTTGTCTTTGTCGGTATTGTGGTCTGTGGTGAATCGCATTTGCAAACCGGACCGGTTTGGATTTGTTTAGTATTATTGGGAGGTCGTCAGATTTGGATTGTGAGTGTGTTCTTTCGTTCGTTAGATGTGTAATCCAATGGCGATTAAAATTGACAAATTTATCTCTTTCACCAAAAAATTATTTAATTAAATTAGTATAGTTTAAAAAAAAATGGTAAAACAGTTTCCCCTCCTCTCTGATAGGGTTAATTTTGTGGTTTAGGTTTAGAGTTATTTTTGTACTTGTTTAAAAATAATACTCCCTCCGTTTAATTTTAGATGACGTTTTAGAGTTATTTTTTTGTTTTAAAATAAATGACGTTTTGATATTTTCGATGTACTTTTTGATATTTTTTCCAAAATTATCCTTCATTAATAATAGGTAATTACAATATTGTATGAGAGAAAAAATAAAGACATCATAATTACAAAAGGGTATTTTAGACAAAATTTTATTTTTCTTAATATGTGTGTTTAAAGCTAAAACGTCAAATAAAATTAAACAGAGGGAGTATGTTTTTTTAATAGAATCATTAAAAACAGATATTTTGGTCATTTATCTTGTTTAATTCTTTACACGATTCCCTAGTTTTACCTAAAAAAAATACTTCATTCATTCGTTTCAAAATATTTATAGTTTTAGATTATTTTCAATATTTTAAAATATTTGTAGTTTTATATTTTCAAAATATTTTTTATAATAGTTTTTAATTTTATCCCTACCAAATTCTAATACATTATTAATGATTACATTATTTTTAGTTTTTATCATCAAATAAGGATATATATAACTTTTGATCAATTTTCTTAAAAATTGTGAAACATCTAAAACAACAAATATTTTAAACATTAGGATTTTAAAATTAAAAAATGCACAAAATAAGAGGAAGATAGCAATAGCATCATCCTATTACATTTTAAACTTTTTTTTATTAAAGGGAAAAAAAAGAAGGTACCATTATTCTGGGAGTAGGATATATTAATATGACTGATGAGGAAGAAGAGCGAAGAGCGTTGGATGGGGAGTGGGGATTAGGGAAGAGGGCAAGCCTCGATGTTCCATATTTCCTTGGCGTACTGAGCGATGGTTCGGTCGCTGCTGAACTTCCCGCAACCAGCAGTGCTCATTATCGACATCTTCATCCATCTCTTCTGGTCCCTGTCGCAACACAGCATCAAATTAGCATATGATTTCTTCATCATTCCATGCATCCAACCATCTTTAATAATGTGGTTAAGATTTGTGTCCTGGCAATTCAGTTTCTGATAATGGCAACATGAAGCCTTTTGTTAGGGTGGTCTTACTTGTAGGCTTCATCCACTTTGGCCTGAGCATCCATGTAGCTCGGGAAGTCATACCCCACGAGGAAATAGTCTCCTCGCCCATAACCCGAGTTACCCTCCAGGGAATCGAGAAGCGGGTTGTAATCGTATTTCCCAAACACTCCACTCCTGATATATTCCTTCGCCTCTTCAAAACGCGGGTCGGGTTTGAACTGATGGATTTCCACAACCACACATCACAGACACTTTTGTTAGAGCAATGTCAAAAGAAAAAGAAAAAACCGAGACTGAATGTCATGCACATCATAATTCAGATTATCATCCACGAGCAAAGTGATCGCACCAGTCCATCTTGTCGTTCTTTTCGCAGAAGTGGAACCTGATCAGCCGTTGCGCCAAAGAGAAAGAAATTATCTTGGCCAATCTCCTCTCTAATCTCGACATTGGCCCCATCAAGTGTTCCTATGATAAGGCAGCCATTCAGAGCAAATTTCATGTTGCTCGTTCCACTCGCTTCCATACCCGCTGTGCTTATGTGTTGCGACAGCTCACTCCCTGGTATTAGCATCTCTGCTACAGATACGTTGTAGTTCGGGACAAATACCACCTGCAAAGGTACTATATCAGAATCACGAGAGACATGATGGATTATGGATAGAAATCACTATGTGGTTCTAACTCTATCATTCCAAGGAATATGATAAATAAAGATGTCTACTTGACCATTTGAAACACCTGACAATAGTACATGAAATTCACTGCATCATTAGCTGATGAGAAATTTTCCGTCCCTCGAAACGTTATTTTGAGATGTTCAGGTTCAGTTCAATGGAAAAAATGAATATGTTGGTGAACAGCAATCTTCAGAAATCATTGGAAAAAAATGGGCAAGGAAAATCGTTCTATACATGAAATGCAATGATATGTTGGTGAACATCAATCTTTTATTACCCAAGTAAATATCATCCTGACCCAACCATTGTATTGTAGTAAGTCGTTTTAGTCGAAATGTTATCTGATGCATAAAAACCTGAAAACAGAGCAATTCATGTGTTACCTTCAAGTACTCATTGACCTCTGGATCATTGTTGACCACATCACCCACATCGTTTACCAGCTTTACAATCCGTTTTGCGTTGGTGTAGGTTGCAAAAGCTTTTCCCCCTATCATGACAGTACGAGGAACTTCTTTCTTCCTTTCCTCAGGCTTCATCTCCTGGTAAAAATTTCAGTTTGCAGAAGAGACAAGACAACATATGTCATGCAAAAAAAAAAACACATAAACACCTGATTTAAGACCCTGGTCGGTTGAAGGCTTTGTGGACGCTGCAATGTTATCTTTTGTAATATCTAAATAACTTTTAACTTCAAGACAATGTTTAAGCCAAGAATTTTATTTTGTTTCACCATCTTCCTTGTATTAAATGAAAAGCCAGGGAGAAAAGCTTCTATAGACTACTAAGGCTTTGGCCAGAATCTGCAAAACTGCAAGAATCCAAATGGCTTTCATTGCATGATGAGCAGATTATACCTTCAATTTCTTGAATTTGTATATTACTCCAAGAATGTTCAGAAGCTGCCTCTTGTATTCATGGATGCGCTTCACTTGTATGTCAAATAAACTTGTCGAATCAATGCTCTCACCAGTCACTCGCTTTATATACTGAGCCAGACGTTGCTTATTGGCCATCTTAGCGGAAGCCCACTCAGATTGGAGTTCTTCATTGTCGGAAAACTATCAGAAAGAAAAAATAGGATCAAGGATCACTGCAGCTAAAGCAAAAGTGATCAAGAGTAAAAGGGCCCATCTAAAATGTTCTAAAACTTGTACCTGTCGAAGACCAGCAAGCAGGTCGAGATTGGTAATCCATTTATCTGTTTTCAACCACTTTGTGATTATATCACTGAGCTCAGGACTGCAGAAACGGAGCCACCGTCGAGGCGTGATGCCATTAGTCTTGTTTTGAAACTTGTTCGGCCATATCGAGACATAGTCAGCGAACAACTCTGACTTCAAGATATCACTGTGTAACTGGGCAACACCATTCACCTACAGAAGGGCCGACAGTAAATGACGAAAGCTTGAAAGCAAACAGATCAAAAGAATTTAAAAACAATAGATGTTGAAAAAAGGAAATCTTACTGTGTGTGAGGATACAACACATAAGTTAGCCATTCTCACAACTGGCTTATGAGGATTGTGATCTAAGATGCACAAACTTGAAATCTTATCCTCGAGATCAAAGCGTGTATCTCGTATGGTTGCAACAAACTGCCAAAAAAAATGGTAACATCATGTCATAGAAGCACAAGACAGAGAAATCGTCGAAATGATTAATGACGTGTACCCTCTTATCAATCTCTTCTATGATCTCCATATGACGAGGAAGTAGCTTCCACATCAATGGCTGCGACCACTTCTCCAGTGCTTCAGGAAGGACAGTGTGATTGGTGTAAGCAATGGTCCTGTAAACTTCACAACTTAGTCCAAAATAGTAATGTGGATAATAAAAGTTTCTTTTAAGTAAAGCCGAGAGCTTTCTACACGTAAATGTGTTACCTTGACGTCACATCCCAAGATTCCTCCCACCCAAGTCCTTCATCATCCATAAGCAATCGCATGAGCTCGGGGATTGCAAGAGTTGGGTGTGTGTCATTAAGTTGGACAGCAACTTTGCTTGGAAACTCAGACCACTGCCGCTTGCCTTCGCCAGTGCTTCTCTCTTTGAATCTTGATATGATATCCTAAAATAGACAAGCGAATGGAAATATTCAAAAAAATTACCAATTGGCAAACACATTACCTCTTAATAAGTGGATATTTAATTTTGTGTAAAACGAACTAGTTTCCAAACTTTTGCCTGTTTCTGTTCAGTTACTAACTAATGGCTGTTTTCGCAGACAATCCCGTGCGGAGTTTCAAATATATCAAATACATTATGACTTCAAAACAAGGTGATACTTGCAGAGACTACAGAATAAATCTATGGCCAAATTGACAAACCTGAAGCGAAGCACTGCAGAGAAAGAATTGCTGTTTCAACCGCAAAAGCTTCCCATTCTCGGTAGCATCCCCTGGGTATAAAATAGTACAAATCTGCACGCAAGTAGCACATTGTAATAGACATAATAAAAATGGGTACAAGCCATACAGCAGAAAAGGCTGAGCCTTAAGTGGGAATGAACGATTCTAACCTGTTGAGCTCGAGAATGCAGCTGTGCAGCCAATTCATATTGTCCCTCATTGAACTGAAAAAGGTCGAGATCCTCCGCTCTGGCTTTTGCTTCCCAGAGGCGAAGACTGATCGTGTTCTTGGTTTTATATCCTGGGATCGGCACGTCGTATGCCAGAGCTTGCAAAACCTCGCCACCGACCCATTTTCGCCTGAAAAGCAGTCAGTTTAAGAATCAAAATGTTTAATAACAGGCTCTGTGACAACAACAGTAGACACTGTTGCTCATTCATCATCCATGAGTGCATATATGCAAAGTAACTGTGTAATCATGCATGTCCTGCATTAACACTTACGATCCAAAACCTCGCCACCGACCCATTTTCGCCTGAAAAGCAGTCAGTTTAAGAATCAAAATGTTTAATAACAGGCTCTGTGACAACAACAGTAGACACTGTTGCTCATTCATCATCCATGAGTGCATATATGCAAAGTAACTGTGTAATCATGCATGTCCTGCATTAACACTTACGATCCATCTGGATTTATCTGAACACTGCCGAAAAATCTGACAGGGAATATCACGTCGTGCCTCACAATTTCCCACGGGCTGAACTTCTACAGTTTCCATAAAAATGAAGCGTTATGATTATGGAATGTATCCAGTTTTCTTCAGAACTAGAAATCCTCAGTACAGATCATCATCATCACCTCAAGCCAGTCCTCTGCAATTTCTTCTTGACCGTTCTTCGTGATTAGTTGTTTGAAAAGCCCGTATCTGTACCTCAACCCATAACCCCAAGCAGGCAAATTTAAGGTCGCCATCGAGTCCAGGAAGCACGAAGCAAGTCTCCCCAACCCACCATTTCCCAGAGCTGCATCTTTCTCCTATAAGTCACGACGTGAAAGCTTAAATCACGTCTCAAAGTGAGAGATGGTAAAGAATTTTATCTAAGTCATGAATCTCTTTCGTTAACCTGCTCGGCTATCTCTTCAAGCTCGTGACCCAGCTTACGTAGAGCATCAGCATATGGACCTTGAAGGTCCAAATTCCCGATCGCATTTGTCAAAGCACGACCTTGGAGATACTCCATTGACAAGTAGTAAGTTTGCTTCGGATCAACTTTGTGAAAGTGAAGATACGTCTCATTCCACAGCTGCAAAAAACAATTCAAACCACCCACCATAACCTATATGTCAATATGCATCAACAAGAATAGAGTTCGTTTTGGATCAACTTTCTGAAAACGAAGATAAGTCCCATTACGCATCCTCCCCAAAAAAAATCCAAAAACAACCACCGTAACCACATGATCTATTATACACACATACACATGTAGATTCATTAGTTTTAGCTCTCAAAATTGTCTTCGACAACAGAAGCGGTCGGAAAAAGTTCTGAATCGCTGAGTACCTGAACGAGGCGATCGCGGACGCTCTCCGCGGTGGCGTAGAGAGCTTGCTCAGGCTCGAACTTGAAAGGGGAAAAATGGGGAGTGTACTTAGCGTGGTAACCGATATTCTCCGCAATCGCCGTGGCATCGTCGGAATCCGGGTTCGCCTTCGCCGGGACTTTGACCGGAAAATCGATCGCAGTCGAACCGTTGGTTTTAGCCGATGTTGCCATGGCTAAATTCCCTGCAACTCTGACTATGCTTAAAAATTCTTCACAAACAAAACTAATGAACAAAAAAACAATACAGAAAAAAGACAGCACTATACAAACAAAAATATCGCATAATCATATATATATATATATATATATATAGAGAGAGAGAGAGAGAGAGAGAGAAAACGAAGGAATGGTCGTAGAAAAGAAACCACGAAATCCAAGATGGCGTGAAGATCACCGATATTCAGAAAATCACTCGACAGAAGAATGACAACAAGAAATCGGGAGAGAAATGGACTGAAACATCAAACGATAAGAACACGATAAAGGGGCGAGGACAGACCTTCGATGGCGGAATCTGGCAACAGACGCACGAGTACTTCACCGTATAGGAAGAGGAACTCGCAAGCAGAAGGACACTCGGTGATTCCCCCTTAACAATTCCGGTAGAGAGTATATGAGGAAAGAATATACGAATGAAAAATCTGGAGATATTTCAGACGCAAAACGACAGAAATGTTACTTCTCACATTATTTTTGGGGATTTTTTTTTTAAATAATTTTTCTGGGAGGGGCCGAAGGATGAGAAATGTGAGAATCACGATAAAGCCTCAAGTGAAGTGTACTCTTGTTGTTTTTTATTTAAAAATATCTTGACGGGCCCACATTTTTTTTCCTTTATTCATAAACGCCCATCTAAAATTGTTTGACGCTAAAAAGGTCCAATAATTGTCAATCTCGTCACGAGAAATATGAAGATCAATTAATATCTCTCTTCTTCTATGTAAATCTTGTGATATTTTGAAGGGAAAATGACATTTTTCTACACGAAATATTTAAAATATGTACACGAATTTTGAATTTGACAAAAAACTAAACCAAATTATTAAATATGCCAAATTTATACACGAACTCCCCAATTTAACTGCAATTTTCTACACAATACGAAAACAGCATTAAATATCCGTTAACCGATGACGTGGCACGCCATATGGCATCTGACATGGCACGCCACATGAAAAATTTTGTCATGTCAGCATGCCACGTCAGATTTAAAAAAAAATACAAAAAAATTCGAAAAATTGCAAAAAAATAGATTAAAAAAAACAAATAATCAGAAAACAATTGAAAAAAAATAAAAATAAAATAAAAATGAAAAGAAAAAAAATACATATATATATACATATATATTCATATCTATATACAAAATACAAATACAAATATAAACATATATACTCCTATATATGTATATATACTTATATTTTTTTTTATTATATATATATGTACGTATGCATATATATATACATACATATATACTTGTATATGTATTTATATATATATATATATATATATATATATATGTATGTGTATATATATAAATATACTTGTATGTATGTATATAAATTGGTATAAATGCATGTATATATGTGTATATTTTTTATTTGATATATATAGACATATATATACATAGGAGTATTTATGTTTATATTTGTATTTGTATGTGGATAAAATATATATGTATATATATATATTTTTTTATTTTGTATGTATGTATGTATGTATATATATGTATATGTATATATATATACATGTATATGTATTTATATATGTGTATGTGTATATATATAAATATATTTGTTTATATGTATATGTATATATATTTGTATAGATGTTAGTATATATATATATGTGTATATGTTTTAATTTGTATATATATAGATATATTTTATATAGGAGTATATATATTTATATTTGTATTTGTATATAGATATGAATATATATGTAGGATTATATATATATATATATATATTTTAAATAGGAGTATATATTTTTTTAAAAAAAATTCGATTTTTTTTCAGATTTTTTTTGGATTTCTTAAAAAATCTGACGTGGCATGCTGACATGACATAATTTTTCATGTGGCGTGCCATGTCAGACGCAACGTAACGTGTCACGTCATCAGTTAATGAATATTTAATACCAATTCGAATTGTGTAGAAAATTGCAATTAAATTGGATAATTCGTGTATCAATTAAATTATATATTATCCTTCACCAAATTTTATCCCTTCTCATATGCGAACTATGGATTCAGAGATCAGGCCCAGGCCCAGGACCAGGCCCACTTCTCCTTGCTAAATGACCTCACCAATTTTAACATTTTTTTTAAAATTAATTTGTCCTTTTTTTTCATACAGTTTTGTCTAATTTAAAACATTTTGTAACACATCCATTGCCCACTGGCACTGTTAAGAGAAAACATCATCGCAATGCATTTGTACATTTTCTGAATCTTTAAATAAACATTGTGTATAAATTATATTTTCAGTGTGGACCTACGGTACGAGATTCCATTCAATTAAAATTGCCGTAGATGTAGAAATAATATAAACAATGAAAAAATCCAGGCGGGACAGCTCAAACCAGGGACTATTACTCGGATTCACGGCGAAGAAGAAGCTTCGATCGATCTAGTTCGATCAAGAGACCGGGACTTCTCGAGATCAATGAATTGAAAGCTATTTCGAACGCCAAGGTATCACCCGAAACTGTTGGATTGTTTCATGGCGCGAAGTTACTAGTTACAGAGAAGGAACTAAGAGATTCAAACTGGTATTCAATCAAAAGCTACACACCTGAGACTGTCCAATTCGACGTTAAAGGTGAGGTGAAGGAGGATGGGTTTGAATTAAAAAAGTCTAGAAGCAAATGGGCTAAAGGTTGGAGCATTTGGGGATTGATTCAGAGGAAAAACCAGATGAAGAACGGAATCAAAACAGGGAAAAGCTTGAAACTTGAAGGGAATGGGGACGAGGGTTCATTGGCTGAGTCTTTGTTAAAGCTTAGGAGAGTCGCCAAAGGAGAAAGCAATGGCGATGTGAGCCAGAAGCTCATCAGGAGCTACAGTGTCAGCGCAAGAAAGTCCTGCGATGGTGGTGGGTTTAACATTCATAATGGTGGTTTTGAAGGTGGAAGAAGCTCGTGTGATGGCTTGTTCCATGGCTCCATTAATGGCGTCGAGGCTAAGCAGAGTCATCTTCTACAGATGAAGGGCACGTATTCTCCCGACAACCTCGAAAAAGGTATGTTCAGATTCTATTTGACGCCATTGAGGAGCCATAAGATGAGCAAATCTGGTAAATGTAGACTGATGAATTAGTTGATGTGAGTTTGTAGGGTTCATGGTTGGTGAATGATATGAATACACTCTTGTAAACTAATTCGTTTGTTAAATCCAACGAACTTGGAACACCTAAAATGCAATCTTGTGCTGTAGTTAGTAACTTATGATGAACACTATGACGAGTTTAGTAAATTAATAAACCATCAAATCAACGATGATGAAGATGTTCATATACCATCTTTAAAACTTTCAAGAACCAGAAAACAAGGTACAGAATCTAGATTATGAAATTAATGGGAGTGTATATATATTCAAAGTGCTGTCATTTCTTGGCGAAGAGGCCACCAAAGCCGCCGTTCTTCTTGGGAGGGACAGCTACCGAGTTCTTGCCGCCGCGGGTGGTTCCCCGGCCGTTTCCTCCGGTGGTTCCCTTCTCCTCGACCTTTTTCAGAATGGGATCTGTCTCGTAGAACTGATCTTCCTTCGTCAAATTCCCGAGAACCCAGTCGAGAAAACCCTTCTCCTCCTTTGCTCCGACGGCTGTTCCCTTCGCCGTCGCCGCGTACACCCTCACGGTCGCCGGAGCAAAGCTTATCAGAATCGAAGAAGCCATTTGACTCTCTCTCTCTCTCTCTCGCTAATGGGGTGTGGCCTTCGTGTGGCTTTTGTTACGAATTAGATTATAAAGTGGATGTGTAGTTGGTGAATCTCAGCCGTTGGATCGTTTTTACCACTGTATCTCCACAGGTGTCTTATCTCCTCTCTCTTTTTTTTCGTCTACATAAAATATTTTTGAAACTCCTGATTTTTCGTATGCATGTGTTTCAGTGTTTGTGAGCTGAACATATACATACACATGTGTATATATGCACGAGGAGATGGTTATGAATATGGTTATATGCTGAATGAAATGTATGAATGTGGAGGTGACACGTGGCTTCTCAAGAAGCCATGCTTCTTTGGTTGGATGAAAATGGCCCTTAATCCTTATGGTTCCATGATTTTGTATTCAACCAGCTCCAACGAACAAAATAAATTAATATATCGACCGTATTAATTTTATGTTCATTTTAAATTAATATATTTTTAGAAATAAAAGATATAACTTTTTTATTTTTATTTTATGGAATTAGAGTTTCTAATAAGGATGACCATTTCGGATTTCGTTTGAGGTTCGGTTCGGTCGGTTCGATTAATTTTTGGTTTGGATTCGGTTCGTTTTCGGTAATAAAAATTATTTTTTCAAAAAAATTATCAGTTTTTTTGATTATTTTTTTATTCGGATCGTTTTTCAATTTTCGGGTTTAAAAAAATTATAACCATTCGATTTTGATATCAGATTCGATTCGAATATGATTATATCTTATTTGGTTCAGTTTGACTGTGTTAACTCTAGTTTCTAATATAGTTAAAAAGATTTACTGAATTAATTGGAGCCCATGGATTCAAAAGAAAAAATAATGCATCATTTTTGCGTGCGTCTTTCTTGGGCCCATGATTCGGCCCATGGGCTTTATGTAACGGATTACATTGCGACTAGAATTAACGGAACCATCATCTTCAACTCTTATAAGCCTCGAATTCCAAAAGTCTAACACGTGTCTTTTACAAGGAAAAGCTTTTTTTTTTTTTAAATAAGAAAGGTAGTTTATAATAATTTTCGTTTCTGGAAATTATTTGTTCTATATTATATACAGTTATATGTTTCTTGATCGTAAGCCACATATTGAATAGAAAAATATCCATTTTTTTAATTTTGACATATTTTGGAAATTATTTATTTCAATCCGTTCGTTCAAAAGGCAATAATTATTTAATGACAAAACAATAATAATATATAATAATCTAGCATTCAATATCATATTCCAAATTTAAAGTAACATTGTGTAATTACCCGCACTTATAAAATACATCGTACGTACAATTTTGTATATTATGAAAAGAATTTGCAAACATTTGTCGAAAAAGAGATTTTGTTGGTTTGGTGATCTGAAATTTTGACACAAAGTGTCAAAAAAAGGGGCCAAAGATCGGCATCTACGTTAAGACCCGTTCCCTTTCAAACTCAGTTACTTAATTGCCTCCAATAAAAAATTTAATTACATATAAATCAACTTTTTTTTTATAATATATATCACGTACTCATGTACAATCAATAACTGAGGAAACTATACATATATATATATATATATATATGATATTCACGTTGAATATTTTTTTTGGTTAACCGTGGAACCCATCGCAACAGTCTTTCGGGTCAGACACCGGTCGATCCTGCGGAACGAAACGACATTTCGGACAGTAAATTTTCGGTTCCACGCAATAAACGACAAACTATACAGAACAGATAAACCAGACAAAACTGATCGATTCATAAAAAATTTAGATCTTAAGAGGAATCGAACCCACGATATCATGTAGAAGAGATTTGTCATTTTACACTTTGTGACTTCCCATTATTATTTTTTTTTTTTTTGGTAACCGGGTTTTCTGGACCGAGGCCCAGACTAATCTCGGGACCGAAAGTCAGCCATGTGATTTGAATTATGCGCTTTTTCCCCAGCCTGGGATTCAAACTCGGGACGATACAGACGCTTTGCTCCCCCATTTCACCGGTTAAACTATTCTTGAATCCCATTATTATTATTATTATTATTATTATTATTATTATTATTATTATTATTATTATTATTACGGAAAAAAGAGAAGCCGGAGAAGTTATCTTTCTATAAACTGAACTACTCACTCTATCTGTCCTCACGATATGAGAGTCAAATGTATCTTTTGTTGTCCTCCACTTCCAACTCTACACTCCAAATTGTTTATATATATTTATATATTTTTTCTATTTTTTATTTTTTATTTGGGGGTTTAGATTAATTGGGATTGGGGAAAACCCTAAACCCCCGAGATTCCCATAATTGGCCACCTGCCTTTGGACCAAACCATATTACCTTCTATACGAAATTATATTTTTCTTAATTAATTTTACATACGTAATATAGGTCTCCTTCATAAAATCTTTTGTAACCATCTTGTCTCTCTTGATCTATTTTTTTCTGCCTGTTGTTGTTGATAACCATATTATTATTATTATTATTTTTTGGGTTTTCATATTATTATTATTTTTACATTCACACTACAGCTGCTATGTTATTGAATTTTACTGTGTTCAACTAATGCTTAATAAAATCCCGCGGTATACACACACACATATATATATACATACACATATATATAACAAGGTGCGGGTGTATACACAAGTAATTTAAAAAAAATAAAAATAAGTAGCATATAGCACCGTACATAATCGTATATCGATTACATACATTAGCTCCCGTAGCATTTTTTTAGTGAAAGCTTTCGTAGCATTCTTACGCACATATATACACGCATTTCCTATCGACCCAATGGTTCCCAAATTATTTTTTTCCCAACTACTCTCTCCTAAAACTTTCTCTGTATAGTATCTATCAATTATCAATAATAATCTGTATATACATACATATATAAATATATATATTCACATCCTTCACAATATATATATTGAACCTTCGAAACAAAAAAAAAATATTGTACAAACGTTGGAAATTTTCCAACATTGGTCTGCATACAAAACCATAGCACAGTCCATAACAATTTATATATATATATAATCTTTATCGATTGTTTTGAACAGGGAATATATGGAAAACGTTACCGTATACCTCGGCGTAGCTACCGTGGTGATATCGGTTTACGCTCTATGGTTTTACCTTCTTTCCAGGAGACTCACCGGTCCGAGAGTGTTGCCTCTGGTCGGAAGCTTACCGTTTCTGATCGCAAACCGGAGTCGAATCCACGATTGGATGGCCGACAATCTCCGCTCCTCGGGGGGCACGTACCAAACATGCACCATCATGATACCTTTCGTGGCCAAGAAACAAGGGTTTTACACCGTCACGTGCCATCCGAAGAATCTCGAACATATCCTCCGGACCCGTTTCGACAACTATCCGAAAGGGCCGATGTGGCGAACCGCCTTCCATGATCTGTTAGGACAAGGGATCTTCAATAGCGACGGCGAGACCTGGCTCATGCAACGTAAAACGGCGGCGCTGGAATTCACGACGAGGACGTTGAGGCAAGCCATGGCTCGTTGGGTGAACCAGACTATCAAGAACCGGTTATGGATAATCTTAGACCGGGCGGTTAGAGATTCCAAACCGGTCGACCTTCAAGACTTGTTCTTAAGGTTGACTTTCGACAACATATGCGGTTTGACTTTTGGTAAGGACCCGGAAACGCTGTCGCCGGAGCTGCCGGAGAATCCGTTCGCCGTTGCATTCGACACAGCGACCGAGGCCACGCTTCAGCGGCTTCTTTACCCTAGTTTCTTGTGGAGGGTCCAAAATATTGTAGGGATCGGATCTGAGAAAAGACTGAAGAATAGCCTCCAAGTTGTGGAAGATTACATGACCGAAGCTATTCGTGCTCGGACAAAATCTCCGTCCGACGATCTTCTGTCTCGGTTCCTTAAGAAGCGAGACGTGGACGGAAACTCGATCCCGAAAGAAGTGCTCCAACGCATCGCACTCAACTTCGTGCTGGCCGGACGAGACACGTCGTCGGTGGCTCTGAGCTGGTTCTTTTGGCTCGTCATGAACCATCCCCAAGTGGAGGAGAAGATCGTGAGGGAAATATCGACGGTTCTGAGAGAGACACGTGGCGATGATCGGAGGAAGTGGACGGAGGAGCCATTGGTGTTTGACGAGGCCGACCGCCTGGTTTACCTCAAGGCTGCTTTGGCTGAAACGCTGCGGTTATACCCTTCTGTTCCTCAGGTGAGGGGAACGTATTAATGATTCTTGATATTTGGATATTATTAATTTATTACGCACTTTATTGACAAATAAAAAAGCTAATAAATACTCTCATTTTATTTAAAATCAGAAAAATGGAATTCCTCAAGGAAATATAGGGAAAGTAATATTTTAAATTCAAAAAGCTTGAAAATAGTTATAAAAGGAAAACATGTCAGGACGACCTTGGACCTATAGATTACGTTATTTGCAAGTATAAATTTAATATTTCATTCACAGAAAATTAATTAGTTGGTCCAACATGCCAAATGGGACAGGACTTCAAGTACGTGGTGGAGGACGATGTTATGCCGGACGGGACGTACGTGCCGAGAGGCTCGACCGTGACGTACTCCATCTACGCCATCGGACGGATGAAATCCATTTGGGGCAAAGACTGTCTTGAATTCCGACCGGACCGTTGGCTGTCGGCCGACGGTGACCGGTTCGAACCCCCCAAGGATGGCTACAAGTTCGTGGCCTTCAACGCGGGACCGAGAACCTGCTTGGGCAAGGACCTGGCCTACCTCCAGATGAAGTCCGTCGCCTCCGCCATCCTCCTCCGTTACCGGCTCTGCCCCGTTCCCGGTCACCGAGTCCAGCAAAAGATGTCCCTCACTCTCTTCATGAAGAACGGCTTACGCGTTTTCTTGCGACCTCGTCCCCACGAGCTTTTGCATGCGTAATTCGATGGTGTTTCCGTCAATCGAGAAGCCGGGGAAGGGTATATGAGTCAAGATGGAGGTTAACGGAGGGTATATATGTCATTTCAATTGTTATTTATTATTCTAAGCAAATGTCCTTTTCTTACATATGTACATTGTCATTTCTCACTTTGTGATGTTCGGGTTTGTTCAACTCTTGCGAGTGAAAAAAGTTTCTATTGATTTGAAAATTAATTTGGAAAGTAAGATTTTATATATACTCAGATAATAATCTTGATGAACAATACGTATTTTGTGTTTGGGTTATATATATATATATTGCACTTCACTTTGGTTATATTTAATATTTGCCTTCTTTCTAATTACTCCCTCTCAAAATAATTGTTATTTTAGATTATTTCACATTTTTTAAGAAAAAATAGAAAAAGTCATATATACAATTATTTAACGATAAAAACAATGTTATTATTAATAATTTATTAGAATTTAATAGGGATAAAATTAGAAACTATTGTAAAAAAATGTTTTGAAAATGTAGAATGATAAATATTTTGAAACATGAAAAATAACCTAAAACTACAAATATTTTGAACCGGATAGACTAATGGTATAACGTTGTGTGTTGGTCCAACTTTTTGTTCCACGTGGAATTGCGTGTAAATTTATGATGATCATTATTGGACGGTTGGTTATGAATATATATACACTATATAATGTTCGCATGATCGGTGTGTGTAGGGGTCGGGTACCTCCGTACGGGCAAATTAAAAACGACAGTTAATTGCTCGCCCAAAGTGTTTGAATATGGGCGATGAAACCATCGTTCTTATTCTTATGTTATACACTCGCCATACGATTTTCCTTGTTTTCCACTTGAAACATATTTATTTATATGGCCCAATACATCTCTGCTCAATGAGAACGCTATTTAACTACCACATGTGGGGACATTTATGATAGCGTCCAATGAGACGATGCCACGTAGCCCTAGTTGGTCAAGTGACCAAGCAGGGCTATTTTAGTCATTCCACACGCTGCATGTACGCATCAACTGTGTGTGTCGGTAGATATCTCTCTCTCCCTCTGTATATAACGCGAGTTGCCAAAGTAGGCGAAGTGCAACGGAGGGATAAAAATCATCGATGGCTACGAAACCGGGAATCCTCACGGAATGGCCTTGGACCTCTCTCGGTAGATTCAAGGTATATATGTGCTTTTCTCTTTATAATACATATATTGGTTCATGTGTTTACGTGTATATAATATAAGATGGTTGAATTTATGGTATACGTTACGTGTGTGTGTGTGTGTGTTTGGAAATGGAAGTTCGTGATAGTGGCGCCATGGGTGGTGGACAGTACGTACAAGTTCATGAGAGGGGAGGAGAGCGAGAGGGATTTGGTATACTTCCTCGTATTTCCGATGCTGCTCTCCAGAATTATCCACAACCTCCTCTGGATCTCTCTCTCTCGTTACGTCACTGCCAAAGGCAATAGACGCATCGTCGACAAGGGCATCGACTTCAACCAGGTCGACAGGGAGACCAACTGGTACGTATCGTACGCGCGTGTGTGTATAATATATGTACGTATACTTATCTCCACGACCATGGTTTAAATCCAGAACGTAAACCACTGGCCACATAAACCCTTTTAAAAGTTATGATTTTGATCTATACGAACTTTAAGATATAAGTGTATATATATATACCGGTAAAATTGCTTAATTAATTTTGGTTGGAATCACATATATATGCTTTCTTCCTAAACTTGGTTAGAAATATGATTATTAATCCACTAATTGATGGCCTAATAGTTGAGAGGTTGAGAAGTGATAAAATCATTTCAAGATCCTGAGTTCAATTCTACTGATGTAGAAGAGAAGCCACAATTAATTACGTGCAGACTGATTCTAGATCTAGAGAGATTAAGTAGACTTACGATCCCGTGAACCTCCTAATTATTAAAAAAAAAACATGATTACCAAAACTAGACACATGATATCACAACTAAATGTCTTAATTAAAAAAAAAATCTAGTATTCCTTTTTATTTATATCTTGTGTGTCTCATATTAGCAATATTTCACAACTAATGGAGAATATTGGTTAGCGCCGGGTTTAACGTAATACATGTTCAAAGTTAACACATCCAACCCTTTTTCGGATGTTAAATTCCTCCATGATCATATATATATATATATAATATGGTTCATATATACAGGGACGACCAAATATTGTTCAATGGAGTGCTGTTCTACATCGGGTACACGTTTCTGCCGGAAGCGAAGAAACTGCCGATGTGGAGAACGGATGGGGTGGTGATGGCGGCTCTGCTTCATGCGGGTCCCGTCGAGTTCTTGTACTACTGGCTTCACAGAGCTCTCCATCACCACTTCCTCTACTCTCGCTACCATTCTCACCATCACTCCTCCATCGTCACCGAGCCCATCACCTGTAAGCCCCGTTACATACATACATGGCATGCATGCATACATACATACAAACATACATACTATGCGTAACAAATTTAATGTGCAATCTTGGGATTTTACTACAGAACGTCCGTTATCATGCACCGGATATTAAATGCGGTCCTTTAATTTGGGTGTGACGAGGCATATGCATGACTAAAACAAGCATATAATTCCCATTTCTGTGTTAGTGGACCTATGGCAGGGACCTATGGCAGGGATACATGGAAACATTGCTAATTAAGCGTACGAAGCTGATATTTAATGTAATAAGGAATTTAGTGCGTGTGGGTCCAGCTCAAACAGCAGCCAGCAGGCAGTGTCGTGTCGTTCCAATTTCAGGCTTGCTTCAACAAAAGTATTATTAGGGTTTTATAGCTATAACTATATATATGGTATAATCACATGGGAATGGATATATGTGTGTGTGTATGTATATACATGTATGAAGTTTTTGGCAATATTATAGTATAATGGCATACAAAGAATATACGATGGTGTATATGGATATGCAGCGGTGACACATCCATTTGCGGAGCATATAGCATACTTCACACTGTTTGCGATACCGACGCTAACGACGGTGATGACGAAGACGGCGTCGATGGCATCGTTGGGTGGATACATCTTCTATATTGATTTCATGAACAACATGGGACACTGCAACTTCGAGTTCCTCCCCAACCGCCTCTTCCGCATCTTTCCCCTCTTCAAGTTCCTCTTCTACACCCCCTCGTACGCTCCTCTCTCTCTCTATATATATATATATACACACACACATATATATATATATATATTTGAATTGAAAAGACGTGAAATCTTTTTTTTTTTTTTGTATGGAATATATTCAAATGGAACTCATGCATGCATGTGTTTTGAAACGTGAAACACTGGAAACACAGATTCCACTCGCTGCACCACACACAGTTCCGGACAAATTACTCGCTCTTCATGCCCTTCTACGACTACGTCTACGGCACGACCGACGAATCCACGGACTCGACGTACGAGAAATCTCTGGAGAGAGGCGAAGAGACACCGGACGTGGTCCATCTGACGCATCTCACCACCCCTGAGTCCATATACCATCTGCCCATCGGCTTTGCCTCTTTCTCCTCTTACCCTTTCTCCTACAGATGGTTCATGCGCCTCTTGTGGCCTCTCACCTCTCTCTCCATGTTCTTCACTCTCTTCTATGGCCGGCCCTTTGTCTCCGAGAGGAACTCCTTCAAGAATCTCAAGTTGCACTCTTGGGTCATCCCAAGATACAATCTCCAGGTCATGCATGGATGCCTCTTTATATATGTATATATGCATATATCATCTCTTAATTTGATGATCTGTTGATCGACGAGTTAACATGGGTTTTTCTTGATTTGGGACGTTGACACAGTACTTTTTAGAATGGAGGAAAGAAGCTATCAACAAGATGATCGAGGAGGCGATACTGGAGGCGGACAGGAAAGGAGTGAATGTGTTGAGTCTAGGGCTCATGAACCAAGTAAACCAGACAAGTCTCTTCATACAGATTCCTCATACGAATTTGCGATAAATTCGCGAGGAAAGAGT